CAGCACACCTTAAAGCTTGTGCTATCCTATGATAATTAAAGTCACCTTAATATACTTCACCATGCACTCCACAAAATCATTCTTTTTCCTTCACTGCTTCTTTGTTTATTCTCCTCACTTGGATAAGATTTGCATCTTTGATCCTGCACGTTAACCCGTCTGATTCCCTTCTGGACTCCATAGATGCTGATCTAGATACCATGACCTAAGGCAGTGGTTCTCAATCTGTGGTCCACAGACCCCTGGGAGCCCATGATGTCGTCACAGGGGGTCCTGCAAAGGCTTGAAGAAATGTTATGGTTTAAATCTTGAGTTAAATCTTTGTGGTCCGTGGCTACAAAAGATATTTAAAGGGGGTCCATGGTGAAGAAAAGGTTGAGAACCATTGATCTAAGGTACCGTTATACATTCTACCTGACATTCTTTATTATAGCATTCTATCTTCAAACATTGTGGGGAAATTGGCTCTCTTTATTCCCCTATTCAACTTTTAATAGTTCCCCCATTTTCAGAAACAAAACATGACTGTGTGCCCTTTCCCAGCAAGTATCCATTTATATTCACATTGAAGGCTTTGGCAAAACAATTACTTTGTGACTACCTTAATAACAAAATTGTCAATGCTATTTAATGTTAAGTCCAGTATCATAGCTTCCTTGACTAGCTACTCCAAGAAATAATCATTTAGGGTTTCTAGAAATTAGATTTCCTCATGTCTGGAACAAGATTTTAAAGTCAAAGTGAGGATGACTGAAGTCTCCTAATACTATTGTAGTGAAACCTTGTTTTAACAGGTGTTAGTTGCAGTTAAAGTATGTTAAATATGAAAGCATATTGTTGTGGCAATTTATATCATTTGGGTAAGAATGTTAGTAAGAATATCATGTAAATCAACACAGATGCTGTGTTAATTGCCTCATCAAGATTACTTTAGATGCTACTGACATCCATTATTCTAAGGGCTGTCATCCATTATTCTAAGGGCTGTCTCTGATCTGCTGCATCCAACAAAGTAAATTAGTCTGTTAAATCAGTTTCTTTTTCATATGCCTCTAATTTCATTTTTCATTCTACAGTTCAGTTTTAGTTTCTTGGTTCAAGAGGATAGTAGTGATAGTATACTCCTATTAACTTGCTTTTTACACAGGGAATCCTCTGTTGTTCGATAGAAAAGTCTGTCTCATTTATTTCTTCTAAACTTTATGGAATTCCATGAATTCGACACACAAGGCAACTCTGTTTCCAGTATATCTTTCCTGAATGTATAGCCGGAGATAATTGTACCCTATTATGCATCAACACTCAAACTATTCTTTTGTGGTTTACAGATTTCTAGCATATACAAATGAACACATATGCAGACTCACCTTGAATTTTCTATGCCATACACCTTTTACCCTTGTGATTTTCTTGATGGATTGTATTTATTTCCTAGCTATTCCCCCCTAAGCAGACACAAAGGTTTGCACTCAGGGGCAGTTTTCCCCCCAAACCAGATGTATTCCCTTCTTGTCAGGTTCCAATCTCCTGAGAATCCCTATAGAAACAATGTATGAATAGCAGGACCAGTCTCCTGTATTAAATTTGCTACATTTTCATTTTAACCAAACTAATTCATTTAGATTACAACAGATTACTTGTCAGGTAAAAGCCAAAGATGTCAATCACTGAATTCTTGTGTCATCATATTGTAGGTGAGGTCAGACACACACACACACAAACACACAGTTTGCTGAGTCCATCAATGAAATCAAAGGACAAACTCTAATGTTCTTGTTAGTAATTTAAGCAAGTGCTAGCTAAAGATGGAAATCAACTAGGCTTTGGGTGGCTGGAATTTAGATACTGATTTACTGGGTGACCATGGGCTTAAACTAATTTACAGAATTATCATGAAAACAAAGTGGGGAAAGAAAGGCAACCATGAAAACTACGGTACCATGCTTGAGGGAAAAAAAACAGGTTTATATAATTTCATGTACACATTTTAAATATATGTTTGCTGACTTTTTAAAAAAAAAAATGACCTCCACTTAATAGTAACTGAAAGAAAAACAAGGTTTAAATTTACAACCTAAGGTCTGTTCTATGCTTTAGTTTTCATTGTAGAAATGTATCTTATGAATGAATAATTGTATATTTTGGTAATAAAAGAAATTCAACTTTTTTGTATCATTCACATCTGACCATAATACAGATGCTCCTACATTAGTAATATCTTGAAAGATAGCATTCTAAAACAGCTACTATTGTGACATCACTGCTATTGATCAAGAGAGACTACACCTTTGGACAAATTGCAAAAGAAGTTGCTTTGTTACTTATCTGGGACAATTTAACAAATAATTTAACCCTTTTTATTAATATTATACATATGACAAATTTATAAAAATAAAATATAACTCTATATAATACCATTGTTTAAATTATGATTATACATCAAGTTACCTAAAAAGCACAATATAAATCTTACCAGCTGTATTTTTCCTTCTAAGGTTTGACTGCTGAATTTTGAAACAAAATTTTGAGCTGGGTTAAATAATTTTCAAGTAATGAAATCATTTAAAAAGTTGATTATCAAGGGAAACTAGTCCAGCAACTTCCTTTATGCAAAAATATGAATCTCTCCCACAGTTCTCCACATACAATTGCTATGAGCATGAAGAATGAAGTATTAATTTACTTTAAATCTTCCAACTCTTTTATCACCATTCCTTCAACTGCTTTACACCATCTAAGTGATATTATTCCTGTTTCCACAATATGAACATAATGGCTCCTATTATAAATTCCGGCTGATTTTCACATTTTGATTCAGTTTGAAAAATTATCAGATCTTCCAGTCTCCTGAAACCCTGAACTGAATGACTCCTAGGGGGCAGGATTTTAGACTTAAGTATGGTTTTTTAAGTGTTATTAGGCACGTGGAGAAGGGATGGAGTCAAAGTCTTTCCTAGGATCACATGGCTGCTCTCCATAGCCACAGCAGGAAAATACATTTGATTTGGTAGCAGTGCTCCTGTGTATTTCCAAAACACATTTTTCTCTTTAAATCTAAAACCTTGCAAAGTCCTAATTCTACTCCTTCTCCTCTTAGCTTATAAAAGCTTATAAAAACTAGAATCATTAATAAGAAAATTTTGTACTTCCTGAAAATTATCAAATGTAACAATGCAGGAATAGTCAAAACTTTACTGCAAGAGGTATAAAGTTTGGAGATATACTATGGCCAAATTGGGTATCTAAATAAGCATCTGCATTTATGATTTGGTTTATATATATGAATATTTTAATGAGCAAGTTATGGTTTGTATCTTTGAATTTTAGTTCTCACCATCTTTGATTTGGAAAATCTCTGAAACTATATATACACAATCTATTTACAAGCCTTATGTCACATTTACATTAACAATTTCATATGAAAAATCGGTTTTATCAAACATAATTACTATTTAAGGTATCCTTTTTCAGGTCTGTTTTTATATTTCATTTAATATTTTCAGAATGAAGAGAAATTCTTTAGCATTAATAAATCAGTAAAACAAAACATTTATCCCCTTAATATTTACTATGATTAATTTATATGTGCCCTCTAATTCCAAGGCCTAGCCATAAGGAGGAGTACTAGTCAAAAGATTTTCTAGAATCTTCCAAAAAGAGAGCTTTCAGTAGTATTTAGATTTTTGTTAGGACTCCCTTAAACTCAATGTTAGGAATTAACCTCAAGGCCAAAGTCAATTGAAAATAAGCTATCCTTATTTTAAAATATCAGCACCCATTCTTATCCCAAGGCATCACTTTTTACCTATTTTTCAGAATATCTTCTGTCACATAAGATGATCCCTGATGTATGTACAATAAACATCACTTGGAGTGGATCATGCTAAAATCCAACATTAAGGTAGTGGGCAATGCCCCACAAATGCCACCCATAACATATTTGTTCTAGTGAATCTGATCTTTTCCCCCAATTTCCACACTAAAAGGATGAAAACTGGCAATATACAGTTTGCCTACAGGGGATGAAGCGGGGGGGGGGGGGACTGCTTTTGCAAAAGTATCTATAAAAACCTTAATCAGAACATCAACAATTCCCACAAACTTATCCATAGGCTTTTGGAGGGATACTTTTGGCTCTGTGATGCAGCCTCAGATAATGAACCTTTCCCCTGCGCCCCCACCTACAGTTCCACATCTAGATTATTCAGTGACACTTCGGAAAAATATCCCTCTCCTCTCCCCAACCAAGCCCTCGATTTTAATAATCGCAGCAAGAGATAATTACTGACCTCACCTTCAAGGTAGCTAGCTACACACTTTAAACGTCAAGGGAGGGAGGGAATTCCTTTTGAGGTTAACTGCAACCTCCCATTTAGGCAAACCCTGAACTCCAGTTGACAGGCGGCACCAAAAGCCCTTCTCTCTCTCTCTCTCTCTCTCTCTCTCCAGCGTGGAGAGACACCCAGAAGCCCTCCGATCAGGCTCAAGAGAGGAGGGCAACCAGCTCCGAAATCACCCTAGAGACACAATCGTGTTCGATCCCGGAATCTGTTTCAAGTCAGCGACTTGAGAGGGCTGCGACAAAACAAGACCTCAAAGCCCGGCCCGGGGATTCAAATGCAAAAACGCCAAAGGGAAGCCCGTCTCCTTCCATCCATCCTGCAACGTAAAAGGGTGAGGCACGTTTCCCCTCCCCTCGCCCCCTCCCCAAAACCCATCCTTGCCTGAACGAGGGGCGCTTCTCCGCTCTCCTCCCAGGGGAGCATCGCCCAGCCTTCCACAAGGGCGGGCCACCCCAGGGCGGCGAGAATCACCCCCACCGGGGGAACCCTCCACCCCGCGCCTGCAGGTCTTTTTCCCGGGGAAGGGTCTCCTGCCCGCTTCTGCCCTCCCGCCCTCAACCGCGAAAAGACCCCGTGTAGCCCGGCCCCTCGCAAGGCACGCCCTCCTCTTCACGCTAGCTAGCCAGCCAGCCAGCACAGCTGAATCCAGCCACTCACCGGGTAGGGGTTCCTCCCGCCCGCCGGTCCCTCCTCCCTTCCCTCTACACAGGCCGGGGCTGCAGGGCGAAGCCCAAGATCCCCTAAAGAGGGGATGATGCGGAGGTAGCAGCTCCGTGCCTTCGGAGGGGAGGGAGTGGGAAATAGGCAGCAAAAGGGCGGCAGCGGGCGGCTCTGGCACGCAGGCGGCGGCGGCCCAGACCGGGCAGACCACCAGCCCCCAACTTCGTCGGTGATAACAATAGGACTGCCGGCGCAGCGTCGCCTTTTATAGGGAGGGGGCACGTGACGCAGCGCGCCCCGCCTCCCCCCGCCCCCGTAACGCGGCGTGCTGCACTCGCGCGGCAGCATGGGAAACGTAGTCGCCCTCAGAAGGGCGGTGCTTGCGCAATAGAACGTTGCGGGGGGTGAGGGGGGGTGGCTGACAGTTTGTCCAGGTAACGGCGGCATCTGAGGTGAGGATGAAAAGAACCACGTAACGCTTGGAACCCTGGGAAATGGAACCCATCGGATTCTTCTAGCGCTTGCTAAAATTAGGTTCCAGAATGCAACCTTGGCTGTTTTCGCTAAAAGTATTCCTTAAAAAAATAATAATAAAAAGCGAACAAGACTGGTGATAAAAAAATAAATAAATCCGGAGAGGTTACCAGCCTATAACTTCAAGTTGCTATCTTATTCCTGAGTGACTCTACTTTTTAAAAACAAGATAATCTTGTATTCCAGATAGTGGAGGAGCACTTTTTCCAGAACTGCTTGAGGTTAGGATGTTTGTGGGTGTGGAGAGTGCTATTTTATCACACTCTGCAGTCGTGGTACATCTGCAGAGATTGTGGGGCAGTTTCTTTTTTGACTAACAAAAAAACCCAACAAACCAGAAAATAAAAACGTGAATTATCAGATAGGATTCGGATGAGGATCATTATACCAAGTAAACAACTGCAGAACTGTTTCAGGATTTAATAGCTCTACTATGCTAATTATATGTGGCTGTAATTGTAGTCTTAATTTAAAAACAAGTTTAGTTAACTTGATTTTGATTTTCAGTTATAATAGATTCAGTCAGTATGTTGCAACTAATTAGAAGTACTGTATCAGACTTGACAGGATCCGTTAAGAATCTGAGCGGAAAATGTAGACACCGTAAGCATAAGCCTACAAAAAAATTGTAGTGAAAGTGAAAGAGATCAGTTTTCTTATAAAACTAGATGAGATAACATATAATTTAATAATCTCAGGTACACTGATTGTACTGTTTTAAAAAATTAAATCAAAATGGCCATTGTGAAAATAAAACAGAACCTATAAAAATGTACTGACTCTATAAAATATGCAAAGTTCTAGACCTCCAAGATGTTCCCCAAATTAAATCGAAAAATCAGAAGGCTGTATTGAACCATGAAGTCTGTCATTTAGAGTCATTCTCAAGCCATTCATTGCAACAAGACCATGAAACTTGGGTGATGACAAAGTTACAGTCGTTTAAATACAGTTTCGATTTACACATTACAATGAACCAAATTTTGTTTTGAGAGCGCTGATTACACTCTTGGCCTGATTACACAGAACACTAGCCCATAAATCATAGGTGGATTTATTGGAAGAAGCCAAGGCCAAGAATTGCATTAACTTTATGGCTTAGCTGAACATGTGAATCCAATCACTGACACTCAAGTCCCATTACATGTTTTTTAAAAAAACACTGAATAGGCATTTACAGAAAATAGTCCTCTTGTTGAAATTATAGATATGGATTCTCTTAAATTCTAAGTGAAAGTATACCATATGGTTATTCCCTTAGATTCCAGGATAGAAGAAAGTTGGGGAATAAACACATTTAATATCCCTATGTAGTTCCATTTTTCAATTTTGATTGATTCAATTTCAATTTCGATTGGTTCCTTCCACTCCCTTCAAAGTTAGTCTCAACATTAGATTTAAAAATATGCATTTTCATTGTATGCAGTCAGTGCCCAGATCTTAAATACTGCAACGCTTTTGCTCACCACTGGATGGAGTGGCATGAAAGGAAAATACATTTGCCTATTGGCAAATTGAACAAGTATAAAATTCAGCTGTACCTAATGGAACAGATACTTGAAGGAGAAATACCAATCTATTTCCATATGGTAGGAAAGAGCTGTTTTGGACTTAATAATCTGAGTCACAAATTGCTTTTACTTTGTAGCCAACCCTTTTGTACATTACCAGTGTAGGCTAAAATTAATGCGATCCAACAATAAGTGCATATGTACTTAAATGTGACATAAGATATTAAATGTCATATTCATATGTTAATAATGGCTTAGTATTAAATAGTTAGGCTAGATGACAAAGTAAGCCACAGTCTGTTTTCTTTTTTCTTTTTAAAATCATGTCCCTTTTATATTTATCTTATTAAATTTATATGACATCTGTTTCACCTAGAGGCAACTCTAGGTGGCTTACAACCAATAAAAACAACAGGATAAAACATTAAAACAAATATTAACACTAAAATTGATTTAAGAATTAACAAAGATTGCAAGGAAGGAAGCAAGATGCACATAGAGAGAAGGTGGGATCTTATCTCAGTCCATTAACCACCTCCAGTATGACATGCTCGCATCAGGGCCCCAATTGGCATAGCCAAGGCTTCAGGCTCTTTTGGAAGGCCAAAATTCTTTGAAAATTACAAAAAAAAAAGAAAAGAAACCAAGAGCATAAAAATAAATTAACAAATAGGAAAACTCAGGCCTTCAGAGTTATGTATCATAAACACCATTATGGAGGAATATAAGTGTTCTGAGCATGCAAAAATGTCTGTTAAATAGTTTTTTTTTTTAAATGAACCAAAGCACATCCTCCACAGTAGGATTTGGTTTATATCACTATTTATTGTTGTCAACATTCTCAGCATAATTTTTGTAACTTCTATGTAAATTAATTTGATTCAGCCCAAGAGTTTAGTTATGGATACATTAAGAAACTCTCTGGGAAAAAATAGTCAAAAATTAACTTTCAGAAGATTGTCAGAAAGTCTGGAAGCAGCAATATGCATCTTACAATTACGAAGAGTCTATTGTTGGGATGTTTAATGTTTAAAGAAAATTAGATTTTGACTATAAGCTAGGATCAAACTCTAGGTAGCACCATTAATAGAGTTCTCAATTACCAAGTACTGTACACCATCCTCTCCCAATCTATGCTTTCCAGAGATGCCAGAATACAACTCTGCTCACTCCAAATCAGCATGGCCAAATAGCCATGGAAAAGACCGCTTTATATTGTTTAACTCATTACCCGCTACCAGTATGATGCACATTGACATCTGACACAAACCTATTTTTGACTGAAACCCACGTCTATTAAGCAAATCAGTATTTTTTGTCAGTAGTCCTAGTAGATGTTTTACAATAGAAGAAAAATTATAGCATCTTTTTGGCAATTCAGCAAAACATTTTAGGCCTGCATATGCACTATAAAATAATGCATGTATGGCTCAACTATCTCTGGCAGTGACCTTCTGTAATATTGCTAAGATTTTAAGATGTACAGATACTTTCTTCAACCTCCTACAATTGCTCAGTCACGGAACACAAATGTAGTGTAATGACTATACAGACATTGTCAGTAGGCAGAGCTCCTGCTGGTCTCATCTATACTTTAAATTCAGAATGTTTTCACGGTGACGAACACATTCTGGACCATAGTTATTTACTACAGTTGAATGGCTGTGTTTCCACAAATGCTGCTTGGGTTATTTTCATTTTAGAGATTACTATTGCTGGCCCTTGTATCTTTTGCTTTTAATTTTGCAACAGCTGATCTATATTTCTACCTCAAGTACTCTCCTGAACAAAATGTCTTCCATGTTAATTTTTTTTTTAAATCAATCATGAAAAAATAGGTTTTTGCTAAAATTGTTAGAATTGTATTTGCCTGCTAAAACTATTATGCATCTAACATGAAGCATTGTTATATGAAAAGATACTTAATGCAAAACGTAATATTGTGCGTTTTGAAAATGAAATATAGAATGTTTATCACAAAATTCAACTGGTACATAACATGTTTGCTCTGCTTGTTTTTCCTCGCTTTTCTTTTTATCACTATACTCAATGGATTTCAACTTGTTCCAATGGTTTAGGTAAACCTTCGTGTTTTTAACCAGTGCACACAAAAGCTTTATTCTTCAGAAAACAGTAGTTTAAATACTTGGGAGTTACCTTTCCTCGAATTTCTAAACAGCTTAATTAAGCTTGTAGCCAAAAAGCAATATTAAAGAAATCTAAGAGTACTCTGGGGATAAAAGTGAAATGAACCAGTAAAAAACTAAGTATCAGAGCTGTGCGGTTCTTGAATTTTGATTCCACAGTGTACTCTGGAGTGCGAATGTAGTACCTATTGAAGTCAAAGGCACTTAATTCTGGAATGTATTAAATTGTAACCAAAATTTAGAAATGCTAAAGTGGTATATAATTCTTTCATTGGCTTAATAGACAGAGAGCAACATCTGGTGACTCAGTAGCTACAATCCTACTTTCTGGAAAACCAAACTTTCTGATAAAAGTTTCAGGTGGGGGAAGATCAAACCCTTTCAGCCTATTTTTCCATTTATTTTGGATTTGGGAACTGTTTGCCTCAATAATGCTTACATTTCCAAACTGCTCCAAAATTAAGTTGCAGAAAATTGCCATTTGGTCCCTGAAGATTCATGATGCAATCTTATTTCTCTGGGGGCTCTCAAAAGGATTCAAGGTTTTCAACCTCCCCCCCCCCTTAAAACACTGAAGAAAAGATTTATTCTGCTGCTATGTAACTATTCTGTACAGCAGTTTGCTAATGTGGGCAGTCCCAAAGAAAACAGCTCCTCTCCACCGTTCCTACAGTCCTGGATCAAAGGATAGTTTCTGTGCTTGTCAAGAAAATACTGTTCAGAATACATTCGCAAAGCGAGAGAAGGCTATGTCCAGTTGCTCTGATTTATTTTGAAGTAAATGAAAACATGAGGAAAAATCTTCTCTGAAGAAAGGAATTTTTGACTTTGCATCTGCTTTGTACTTGACAGTTAATGTTCCACCCATGTTAATGTAACTTCCAAAAAAACTGATGGATCAGCAAAGCAGTGACTCTGAAGGGTATTAACAAACAGCTGGGTTGCTACTAGGCAAGCAAACTGGGTTATTTATTTACTAAGCGTCTGGCAAAACAGCAACAAAAAAGGAAAATGGAACTCCTCGTCCTTTATCCATTTTTTTAAAGAGAAAAGTGTTTGGTGTTTAAAGGTCCTGGGAATGATTGCCTGTATTTATTCCTCACATAATGAACAGTCCCAGTTGAATATGGGTATAATATAATACTATGACCATGGAAGCACATTAGAGTTGAATATGTTCTTGCACACCAGAAACTAAAAGTAAAATGTAGTAAAGTGTAAAAAGGGGATGACACATTTGTCTCAATGTGTATCTTGGTTAGAGAAAACAATAAAAATACAAGGTTTTTTTCCTAAGCCATCCCCCTACCCCCCTATGTATTTAGCATGAAGTAGTTCACTACAGGATGAAAGGCTGTTCACTTCAGGTTATGGAGTGTAGTTCATCATACTGGACCAGTGGCAGGTTGAGAGATGTTTTTTGATTTTCCAATCCAAGACAGAGAGAGAATGATTGGCCAGGCATTTCAATGCCTAAGTGAGGCTAAATTGCATGATTTCCCAACACCTACTATACACTACACTGGGTCTCATTCTCATACAGAATCTCACTATTTTCCCCCAATTGGGCAGTTAGATAAAATTTCATTCAGTCTACTGTGCAGCTTCTTCTTTTTTACTGGTTACAATTATTCACAATTTCAATAAAAGGTTCCACAACCAAATTAAAAATAAAGAATTCCACAGCCATGTTTTATAGCTCATCGTTTAATTCAGTGGTTTACCAAAAACAAAAACAATATGACAAATCATTACAGTTCCAGGAAGAATGGCAAACACTCTCATACATGCTCTTAGGAGGAAAAAAAAATATCCCCAAGTGATTCAACACAGGTTTGAGAAAGGAAGAAAAAACAAGCTGTCATTTATGGAGTGTATGTACTGCTTGACAGACTGAGTACGAAGGATGATGGTCGGTTTAAAAATTATGTCAATTTGATTCTAGTTTTACAGCTTGATATAAAAAGGGTTGAGACACAGTTTCCTATGAGGTCTGAAGTGGGAAACTTTGGCTTAAGATGCAAAGCTATTTCCTCTGAAGGTGGATACACAATGGAGAAAAGGAGGAACAATAACAAGTGACCAGGTTTGCTTGTGTTCTAATAAGCGACATTTTACTGTACTCAAATCACAAAGCCAGGTTGCTGTCTTATAAACACATACCATACAACTAAGAATACTACCAGCCTTGTCATAGTGCAAGGCATGTCCTTAAAAACTGATCAAGGGACTCTATCAATCAACTGTTAACTCTATCACTATGCCTATGCACACAATCCACTAGGAATAATAAAAATCTGTAGGTCACCATTAATTTAGCTATATCACTATATCCAGTCTCCTCAAGCATCCTGACGGACCATGTGAGTTTCTGGTACAGAGTTAAAGCAAACAACAACCTAATTTAGGTTGGTGATCATCCTGGGTGATGATCACCAACCTGGTGATCATCCTGGGAAATAAGATAAAAATAATATAAATAAGAGCTCCAAGGCAGGGGTGAAATGCTCCCGGTTCGGACCGGATCGCCTGATCTGGTAGTGATGGAGGCAGGTGGTTCGGAGAACCGGTAGCAAAAATCCCTGTCCCCCCCACATGCCCAGCTGACCCGCACAATCATCAGAGGCTTTTTAAAAAAAATTTAAAAGCATTTTTTCTACAACCTCTTTGGCTGAAAAAATGCTTTTAAAAGTAAAAAAAAAAGCCTCTGATGATCCCAGCTGAGTTGCCTGATCGTCAGAGGCTTTTAAAAGAAAAAAAGCCTCTGCCGATCAGGCAACTCAGCTGAGATTGTCAAAGCTTTTTGAAAGCATTTTTTTACAACCTCTTCCCTGAAGAGGTTATAGAAAAAATGGTTTTAAAAGTAAAAAAAAAAAAAAAAATGGCCACGCCCACCGTCACATTACCCCCCACCAAACCACACCCACAGAACTGGTTGTAACAAATTTTAGATTTCACCACTGCTCGAAGGGCAATCTGAAAAAGCTGATTTTTTTTTAATCAATGCATCAAGTATGAACTCTCAGATTACACTTAAAAATGGTAAAGCTACAGATCTCTTTTTAAAGTGTAGTTCTCTTTTCTTAACCCAATAGGTTTTTTTTTTAATGAAACTTGTTTAAAATGAAAAACTTCTCAAATAATCTGATATCACTAGGAAACAGATGACTTGGTTTCCATTTAATAAAAATGAAATCCCTTTTCTCAAACTCTTAGCCTTAGGCTAATGTCGGCCTATATCAGCTTCCTGGCCTCTTGTCTACTGACTAGGAAGAGAACCTAGCTTATGCAAGAGCACATTACACTCTGGTATGTGAAATCTACAGCTTGCAGAGATTTTTCATTTTGCTAGGGGGACTGAAAAGGTTACGGAGAATCTGGCTTTGTTCATTAGACTTGCTGTCTACTTCTAATTTGAGGACATTATTTCCTGTAGCTAAAATAGTTTCCCCTTCTTTCCCTGCAAGACTCAAAAAAATGCATTCATTCCAAAATGTGGAGACCTTTTAGTGAGAGACTGGTTGCTGCCCTGGAAACAAACACTCAGGGACTTTGTCACCACGGAGTGCTCAAAGCTTTTCAAAAAAGCATTATAAAATTCTTGCTGTATGAGCCTATTCTTGGACAGTGAATTCCTGTAGGATTTCATTCCAAAGTCTGTATCAGTTCAACATAATCTCAAATAAATCCTTCCAATGCTTTTTTGCTGTTTTTTAAAATGGTCTTTTCTCTCTTTCTTGGGAGTTGTGTTCTTTATGAAAACAGGATATTTAGCCCTGGATATTTAGTTCATCATTTTTTTTCTTTCTTTTTTTGCCTCTGAATCCTCTTTAACAGGAGTATTAGGTGAAGCCCCAACTAGGTAGAGTTCATGAACTCCTAAATTGTACTAGTACGATAAATCATTCACATACTTATGTATATGAGCACCTTTTGATACACAGATCTTTATCTCAAACAAGTTCTGAAAAAGTCAAAGCAGGAACAGTTTTTTCAATCCAGAATTTGCTAAAAATAGGCTTGTCGTTATCAACTGAGTGATACAGGCCTTCAAGAGTTTCCCTAGAAAGGATGCACAATTCCTAGGGTGCCCAGATATCCATTACAACAACAATGTTTCATCTATTGAAGTCCTAGGGTTGTTGTCTGCAGACAGCTTCACACAACCCTCTTTCTAGTACATACAATTACAAAGTTCCATCACTGGATAGTCTGGCAGTTTTAACTAGCAAACAAGTGTAGTAATATTACTGAACTACAAATAAGCAGCTCTGTGCTTATGACTGGTATCTACTACAAGCCAGTGGTGGTAAATTCCACATTGTTTGCCTAATAGGCGGCAACATGTTGTGGTAGCAAGATGGGTCTCTGCTGGTGTCCAGTTGCCAAAACTTATAATGAAGTTGTATATGCAGAGCAGATGAAAGAAGGTCAAGTCTTCATCTATTTTAAGATGATGTGGTAGCTATCATTGGTTTCAGCTGTAAAGAAAACACATCATCAGACTCTGGAGTAACAGGAGTAGAATCCCATTATTGTTCCTCACCCATCTTCCATCTGAAAGACAGAAGCTTTACACATAGTACATTAATCTCCATGCTGATTTGGTTTGGGTTTGGGGGTGGTGGTGGTGGTGTTAGGATGGGTAGGTTTTTCAGAAAAAAATAAAGAACAGTGTAACATGCATTACTGTGCACTGAATAAATGAGTACCTTTCATTGTGTCCAAGACAAAACATGATTCATCTTGAAAGTTCTGTATCATCTAAAATAGGAATAAAATGTTAAGAGCCTGGAGAAATCAAGCCACTATTCACTGTGTCTATCTTAAGCAGCACATATATTAATGTACCTTGTCAACAGCTGACATTCATCATCCCTTGTAGATGAAGTATAAGGAAAGGCAAGGATGTACCCAGAACTTTACACTGACCCTTTTGCAGAGAAGCTTGGTTATATCCAGGGCAGGAAACCTCCATCTACCAATCATCTCAATTTCTATTGTCTACAGTTCAAGGTTTTTTTTTAAAAGAGGTGGTCTGGATTTTACTAAATTGGCACAGTTCACTTTTACTCTAGGACCGTGATGGCGAACCTATGGCACGTGTGCCACAGGAGGCACGCGGAGCCATGTTGCCTGGCACACCAGCTCAGCTCTAGCACACGTGTGCGCACCGGCCAGCTGATTTTCAGGCCTTCTGGGTCCACCAGAAGTAGGGAAGCAGGCTGTTTCCTGCCTCCGGAGGGCCTGGGGGTGGGGTGGGGAAGGCCCGTTTTTCTTTCTGACCTAGCTCCAGATCCTTTCTATGCATCTGGGGAGGGAAAAAACAGCCTTCTCCACCTCCTCGAAGGCCCGAAACGGCCCGTTTCCCAACTTCCAGTTGGACAGGAAATGACTTTTTTGCTGTCCCCAGCCTCCAGAGCCTCTCTATAGGAGGGCCTCCAAGGAGGTAGGGAAGGCTCTTTTCGCCCTCCCCAGATGCATAGAGAGGATCTGGAGCCAGGTGAGAAAGAAAAACAGGCCTACTGGGCCATCACATCCCAGGAGTGGGGGGTGGGGGATAGGGGGGTTGCGCGCACATGCATGGGGCGGGGTGCATAGAATTATGGGTGTGGGCAAGTGCATGCGCGAACCTCCCCCGCCCCCCCTTCCTGGCACGCGATGGCAAAAATGTTAGCCATCACTGCTCTAGGATGATCTAGGATTCCAAACCATCTGGCTTCTTATATCTGCCATGAATTTCTTTCCTTTGATTAAATTAAAGCACAAAAAAACACAGGACTACAAAACTGTAATTTTTTAAAAATCCTAATCCTATTTTGAATATGCAATGAGAACCGTATCATAGTAAAAAAAATTGGAGGGGGAAAAGCATGTACTTAAAAAGTGAAAAGCTACAAAAAGGAGCATAAACAGAAGCAAATAATGATTAGGCAGGGAAGCATGTTTCTTGGACCAAGAAAGCAGCACTGTGTAAAATATCTGCTTATATTGCACTGTGTTTTTCTAGATACAAGAAACTACAGAACACGGGGGGGGGGGGGGGGGGTGTTGCTTTTTTCTCACATTCAAGTTCCCAATATTGTCCATACTTCTTTAATTCTTAACAGTCATTAAGCCAGGAAAAAAGCTTGTATTGTATTGAGCAAGCAGTGACTCACACAAATTGTAATTTGTAAAATGCTGATCTCTTGATCCTTGCCTAAATGTTGCAGATCTGCATAATCCATGCATACCTAATTCTCAATTAGCAAACACATGAAGTTATGTAATTTTAAAAGTTTGTGTTTTTCTACACAGTAGATAGTCTAGCCTGGTGGATTGCAGGTTCTAATAAAAAGACAATGTAGATCTTGCAAGCCTAGGTAGGACTGAGAATGTAAATTCAGAACATGCTTAATCCATACATCTCAGTGGAAGTGTTTGCATTACAATATTGAGCCCTGGTAGCGCAGCAGACTAAAGCACCCTGTTATTAAGACCAGCTGCCTGCAATTCCTGCAAGTTCAAATCTCACCAGGTTCAAGGTTGACTCAGCCTTCCATCCTTTCTAAGGTAGGTAAAATGAGGACCCAGATTGTGGGGGCAATAAGCTGACTTTGTATAAATATACAAAAGTATGAAGGCTATTGCTTAACGCATTGTAAGCCGCCCTGAGTCTTCGGAGAAGGGCGGCATATAAATCAAATTTTTTAAAAAATATTAATACAAAAGTCCAATAAATAAGAGGAAAAATGCATATAATTTTTAAAAACCAATGTATGCAGAGGAAACTCGTGCGATTCCTCAGAGACAAAGCAATATTAAGGACTGATTTACCAAGAACAATTGCGACCAGCCACTTCATTGCTAAGCAATGCAGTCTTAAAGTGAAAAATCATTTGACCACACTCGATGTACAACATCAAGCGTGACATCGCATGACTATGACTTGTGACTTCCTACTGGCTTCTTACTGACCAGAAGCCAGCTGTAAAGGTTGCAAATAGTGATTACATGACTATGGTTGCCAGTTACCAAGTGCCCGAATTGGAATCCTGTGACTGCAGGGACACTGCAGTGGCTGAAAGTTCATGGAGAGGTCATACTTTTTTTAAGCACCATTGTAAGTTCAAATGGTTGCTGAACAAGCAGTTGGTAAGAGAGGACCACCTGCATGATTAACCTTTTACAAAGCACATGCTCTAAAAAGTCTAACTTAATCAGATAAATGGCTTAGATTCAGGTACTATTTTCCTCAATAATGTCCCAGAAGAATCAACAGACACATGAATAGTAGACTCCAAATCAACTAACTGAAATTCTAACCCTCTCAAGAGGGTCTTTGAATTCACTCAAGAGCTTAATCCATGCATTTGATTAATACCATAATTTGCTTAAGAAAGCCCTATTTGTAATAATAAAATATGCTAAGCTACAGGTAGTCAATTAAGCTCCTGTGGACACCCTAGGCGTATCTCAGATACCTCTTTTAATGTCTACCAGGCTCCTCGGTGTACTTGTCTTGTTTCTATGAGACTTGTGGGTTTTTTTTTAAAGTTAAGTAAGAAGCTAGTATGTTGCACTGCTCCTCAGATCGATATGATCCATCTGACTCCATCCATCCATTTAGAAGGGTCTTAAAAGACCTGGGTCTTCCTAGAGGCTCTGCAAAAGATGACCTGCGAACTTGCCGTAATATTATGTATTTTGAATTTTGTCTTCCCTAGCCTGGCTGTTTTATTATCTTGATTTTTTTTTCAAATTCTCTTTCTAAGCCAACTTGAATCACTTACAGGGCAACCCTAGAAATTGAAATGAATTATTTTTTTTATAGCTTTGAATATCACATCTGTTCACAGCAATGCTTTTAGATCTCACAAACGTCTTATTGGGAGAACAGAGATGATTCTGGTGGACTAGCTTGCCTTCTAATAAACAAGTGTTTGTGAATGGTAATCATGTGAGTTGTTTAGTGAATAGACAAATTTTTCCATGGCATCAATTTTAGTACGTGTGTCCATCATGTGATGTCAAGAATCCAAATGAATACAAACTACATTGTGGTTTACTGCAATTTATAATCTGGCAAATGAAGAAAATTTCCATTTTTTAAAGAATAAGAAAATCAGAGTGAGCCTGCAATACTATTAAACTCCTAAATTTAATAAACTCCTAAGCTTCTCCTAAGTAACTTCAGACTACCACTTTACTCTTACCTCATCACTGATGAGTACATGAATCCCTGTAGGCCCTTGTTTGTAGATTTGGCTGATTTGTTGTGAGGAAATGCTGAAGAGTTGGGCTATTTTTTCTGTCAGCTCTACAGCAGTCAATTCTTCTAAGTAGATTGCATGGTAAACTGCAGAATCAATAAGAATTAATAAGTAGGTATAGTTCCAAGTTGACCTTAATTACGATGGAGGGAGAAAGTGCTTTAAAAAAAGCAAATGGAAGTACTGTCTTCCTTTTATTTATCATTTCCCTCAGATTCTGCAACCAATTTTACTATAATCTTAACTCTATAGTTCAAAATAAATGTACACATTCCTAATAAATCTTTGAATATATCTCATCATTTTCAATAGACACTGTAATATCTATGATATACAGAAGATCAAAAATTGTTATCAGATCTATATAATAGCAGTGATATTTTAAAGGCAGTGGGCTCATATTAGAATTAAGCAGATGAATGGAAGTGGGAAATTTTGGAGCAACAGAATAAAAAATGAACTACAACTAAACTGTAACACTGATCACTATAACTTATACCATCATTCCCATCACCACAGGTCCAACATCTCTCCTTGAAGTGATGATCCCACTACAAAACACTACAGTTCCATCTGCTATATAGAATGCAGACTTTACCTTCCCAATGCCCTTACCGAAAAAAGTACCATTGGCTGCATCCCCATCTTCATGTTTCTGTTGATCTCTCAACTGTTGTGACTCTTGACAAACATAGATGGTCAACCTTGGCCGTACCATCCTATGGAGAAAAGAAGACATGAGCTCTCCAGGATCAGTAGGAATAAGAGTAATGACTCTTGAATGAAAGGGGGGGGGGATTGATGTGTCACCAATTGACTATTTATTTAGCTTCATTTGGACCTCATCTTTCACAAAAACATTTCAGAGGAAGTAATATTGTTAGTTACGGTAACTGCCAAAAGTTTAATAAGACATCATTAAAAAACTATTAACACCAATAGCAACAAAGGAAACAACATGAAGCACACATTCCTTATAATCAATCATTCATTCATTCATAAATGCCCAGTGAAAGATCAGTAAGACTGGCACCAGGCAAAAGGGAGGAACAACTGTTGTGACAACATTTTGCAGATCATCACAATTTGATTAGCTCATACATTCAAAAAATAAGATACAAGACTTTTCCTAGGATTATTTTTTGTTCAGGATGTTGGTAAGAAGACCGCAAATGTAGATAAATAAAAAAGAAGGTTTAGGCAAAATCAACAGATAATTTCCTACTATATTTCCCTGCCTGATCTCTTGCCCTTTATTTGCAGAATTTATCTATAGGGGCTATTAAAAGTTCATGGGGAGCCAGAAAGATAAATATTAATGTTTTAATGTATTATACATACGTTTGGCTCAGAAGATGAAATGGTCATAATTTCTTTGCTTATCAGTAAGACTAAAAATGGATGTGTATACTTTGTACGTAGACATTTTTCACTATGGCTCACTAAACAAGCCATAATACCTGAGTTCCCACATTACTCTAAGCCAAAATCACAGAGACCACATTATGGCTTAGTTCAATCTGTAAGTCTAACCAGGTTTTTGTTTTGTTTTGTTCAGATGATGTACATGATGTAGAGAAATCTTGATTTAGCCTTATGTGTAAATGAAGTCATGTAGTCACTCAGCAGATCCAGATCATCTTGAATTATTGTGGGATAAATATTATCCAAAGATAATATTTCATTGCAGGCACTCCCTCCCTCATATAAACATTGTATGTTTAAGGGCCTTTTCTGTTCTATGCAGAAACATTTACCATGGTGATGAGATCCATGGAAGAACTCTCAACATTAAATTGGGTGGCTCTGAGGGCAAAATCCATTCTTCCCCATTTTGCATCATCTTATAATCACATTTCTGCGGCAGAGTGGCATCATTTTTTCCATTCTGCTGAAGCCCAATTGAGCTGCAGTGCTTACTACTATATTCTACTAAATTCAGTGAAGAGAAATAGAAGTAAATGGGGGAGAGGCAGGGAAAAACAAACCCAAGAAAGAAAAAGGGATACTGAAATAAGATGCAGAAAGACTGGTAGTGGACACAAAGTACTTCCACTTAGTAGAAAGGAAAAAAAGGGAAAATATTGTATACAGATGAAACAGAAAGAGGGAAGACATGCTAGTGCAAATCTTCAGCAGTAGACAGGAAATATGCATATTATGAAATGAAAGGAAAGAAAAGGCATCATAAATATTCTGTAGAGAACAAAGAAAAAATGGAGTTAACAAGATACAAAACTTTTTATAAGAGCCTTGGTGGCGCAGCAGACTAAAGCACTGTTAAATAACCTGCCTGCAATTACTGCAAGTTCAAATCTCACCAGGCTCAAGGTTGACTCAGACTTCCATCCTTTCGAGGTAGGTAAAATGAGGACCCGTTTTGTGGGGACAATAAGCTGACTGTATAAAAAAGAACACCGCTTTGGGGGTGGGGGGGTGGGGGAAAGCCCTAAGCAGCAGGTATATACAAAAGTATGAAAGCTATTGCTTAACGCATTGTAAGCTGCCCTGAGTCTCTGGAAAAGGGCGGCATATAAATCAAACCAATAAATAATAAATAAATAAATAAAATAAATAAAAAGAGTTGCAAAAATGCCTGTGTGTTCTTAACATAGTGACGCAAACCCTTAAGTACTGTACAAAGCTGGCCCATATTTAAATCGTATTGAAGGTGCTGTTAATAAGATGTATTTGTAGCGTGGAATATTTCAATACAAGTAGTCTTTGCTTAATTTTTTTCAAAAAAGATGTAAAAGCAGCAACTGATTGAAGTTATGATGGTACTGAACAAGGAAATTGAAGACTGGCCTTGAAGGTGTGGCTGTTTCAGCATCCCCGGGGTCTCATGATCACCATTTGAGACCTTCACTGCCAGTTTCTGGGAAACTGGCAGGAAGTTGTGAACAATGACCACAGGAACTCATGCCTATCAATCATGTGGGATTTGCCTGACAAAGACAACCGGAACTGTCATAACTACTGTCGTAAATTGGCAGGCCAAATGAAGTTGTAGTTTACAACTGTATCACTTAATGACAGAGTTGCCTAACTCAATTACCAAGTGAGGACTAACTCTCTGTATTATTCATGTTGCTCAGTGTCACAAAAGCTGGTGGAAAACCAGCTCAGAAATATCTGCAATCCCCAATTTGCATTCTGAAGTCAGTGTAATCTTAGAAGTTTGCGCCACAAATTTTTTGACAGACAGATGAGAGAAGATTTAACACTGATTCATCTACAACGGTTGCCTTTTAAAAATCTGAATGACAAGCTTTTGTTTACATGCCAGAGCAGAACATTAATTTCCCTTTCACAAGTGAGGAAATGGAAGCACACATAGAGGAGCAAGTAGCCAGCAGTGTTTGTCCTTTCTTGTTTATCCAGAAGTCTATTCAAATGATATGCAATTCAACTTAACTTAGCAAAATGTTTGCTCTACAACTGAACCCATGAACCACTCCCAAGTAGAATAAAAGTGCACTCTTTTTCAGATGCATGTGGTAACCATGGCCAAGATGGCCTTTAAGCAACTTATTGTGTGAAGCTATTGAGAGATCGAAGAGCATAGGATGGATGCCTAACATCCCAGCTCCACCACAGGTTATCTACAAGAGTGACCAGATCTATCTCAGTACTAAATCCCAGCCTGAAACACAACTGAAACAGGACTAGATATTCTATTTCCTCTAGGATTCACATCGGCTGCAGACCAACCATCTTCTCAACAATAATTTGCAGAAAGGGAAGGTTGGAGACTGGTTGATAGTTAACAAAGGTATTTGGGTCCAAGGACAGCCTCTTTAGGAGGGGGTACAAAACAGCCTTTTTCAAGGTTGAGGACCCCATCCTTTTCTCAAAGAGGCTGACATTACAGCATGGACCCATTTTCACAATCAAGGTGGGACTTGGATCCAGTAAACAGATGGCCAAGCTGATAACAGATTGCCCTGTTCACTTCCTTAGGAGTCACTTGCTGAAACACTCATCCTATTTGTACATTTAAAAACAACGTAAATCAAGAATTTGAGATAGGTGGCCATATAGAATGGATGGATATATGAATGAATGAATGGATTTCTCCACCTCTATTCCAAAAAGAAGCCTCAAGAAGTTAATTCCCTCCTTCATTTGGAAGTTTTTTTTTGTTAATCTGCTTTTAGATGCTTTTATGGCCAGTCATGCATCTGTACAGGTAGTCCTTGACTTACGACCACAACGGAGTCCAAAATTTCTGTTGTTAAGTGAGACATTTAAGTAAGTTTTGTCCCATTTTACGACATTTTTTTTGCCTCCATTGTTAAGTGAATCACTGCAGTTGACAAGCTAGTAACTCATTTGTTAAGTGATTCTGGTTTCCCCATTGACTTTGCTTTTCAGAAGGTCGCAAAAGGGGATCACACAACCTTGGGACACAGCAACAGTCATAAATATGAACCAGTTGCCAAGTATCTGAATTTTGATCGCACGATCGTGGGGCTGCTGCAAAGGTCATAACCAGGGTGGATTTAATTTAAATCGAGTTGATTTAAATCACAATTTAAATCACAATTTAAATCACTAGTAAAAAGGCTTGATTTAAATCAACTCGATTTAAATCATAATTTTTAAAGAGCAACTGTCATCTCTGCTTCTCCTTTGACCCACTGTTGACTCACCGATAGTCCCAGTGTTGCAGAATGTACAGCCTCATGCTACATAACTAAGCTCCATTTCATGCTGAATAAACTAAATTATTTATGTATCTTAAATAGAAAACTATCTTACGATAGATTTTTACCCCAAAAGTTTTTTATTAAAATAAATTCGATAAAAATAAAAAAAAAATCCGATTTAAATCCAAAAAATCCGATTTAAATCCAAAATATCTGAATTTTTTTGATTTTTTAAAAAAAATCATTGATTTTTATCCATCCTGGTCATAACTGTGAAAAACGGTCATAAGTGACTTTTTTTCAGTGCTGTTTTAACTTTGAACGGTCACTAAACTAACTGTTGTAAGTCGAGGACTATCTGTACTTATTTTTCTATGGCTTTCTTTCACTTTGATTTATATAACAAAAACAATTACGTTAGCATCATGAAACATGTACATAGAGCAGCAACTGAGTTTGCTGCAAGATTTAAAGAAGACTGTGAGGCATGAGTCAAGAGGTCTCCAGGTTTTCTTGCTCCCACTGGACTACTTTATAAGTCGGATCTATCTCCTCTCTTACTTTATCACAGCAGTGGGGAATACCTATTTTCTCTGCACCTTTCCTTGATCTTCCCAAAACTTTTACACTGTGTTCTTGATTGCATCCTTCGCCCTCATTTTCTTGTCTCTTCCCCATTATTCATCTCCTTAATGTGCTTTGCACACATTCCCTTAACAGCAAGAGGCAGTGAGCTTTCTGATGCAGAAGCAAGCAGTGCATCAATCCAGTGAAAAGCGTATCCATGGGGGGGGACGGGACAACAGCTTCACCCTTCCAGTTCTCTTGTTTTTTGGAGCTGCATGAAACCAACAAAGCCTACAGCATTTTCCTCACTCCACCCCCACCCCCCATAGCCAGTCCTATCTGAACAATCAGAACTGGTACATTAACTTGGTGGTATGGTGTGATATTAGGAACTTTTTTTTTTTTTGCCAGAAGCTGCTATTCACCTGGGAATATCTGTTTTTTCTTCACCTGAAGGACAACTAACAATCCAAGAAACCTGCATAGTATTAAAGCCTGTTCTAGTCGCACCTCAAATGTGGCTGGCAGGGAGTAGTGGGGGATATCCAAAATGTATTTTAAAAAGAAGGGAAATTAAGAAGCAAGCCCTTCTTTAATGAGAAAGGCATAATGTTCACATTTGCCCATAGTTGGCTACCCAAAGGAAGAAAATAAAAAGCTACATAACTGAATTCTAAAATGCTCCCCAAAAGGCATGTATTTGTGATTTTCTCTAATTTGCACATCCGGCTGTATTGCACATCCTGTAATAAGTTTATTATTGTTATTTATCAAGTTTATTTAGTATCCTAGTCCGATTTGTGTTCTCTCTTGTTTCACAGAGGCACTCTCTAGAAGAGATGTTCTTCTGGAGTAATTATATAAATATTGATTATAAATAAGCTAAATGTCACAGTCAAGTGCCAAAAAGCGATTAAAAGACAACTGGGGGAAAAAGGCATGTTTGTTTCAGTACTGCCCAACACACATAAAGCCTCAACAGTGTAAAGTCCGTTTGGCTGATACACACCGTCCTTTCAACGCGTTGAAGAGTCTGATGCCATCTGCAGGACCGCATATTTGTATGACATCTTCTCTGGTTAATTTCAGTAAGTCTGCCCCTAAGATTTTTTTTTGAAAGTGAAAAGGGATAAGAATTATTGTTGTTGTTGTTGTTATGTTATTTGTTGACATTTATAGTCCATTCAGTAAACTCTGGGCTGTGCACAAATTTTTTAAAAAAGGCATAAAAACAGCTAAAGATCAATAGGCAGTCTAGACTAAAATACTCTAAAAAATGAAATTCACAAAACAAAACAAGAGGTCAAGAAACAAATAACAATTATCAACCCCAAGCCTTGGACCAAAGTCAAATTTTCAAAGTTTTCCAGAATCCTAGGAGAGAGGGAACTTTATCTATGGATGCTTTTCCAGAGAGTGGGAGCCACAACAGAGAAGATCACACAGGACAGTAATATTTACTTGGCTAGTGAGATGGGCGGCATGTAAATTTAATAAATAGTGAAGGAGACATAGAGTGCACCCACTCTGCTGGAAAGTACTGGGTTGGAAGAAATGATTAGAGACAAGCACTCTTTGATATCCAAGCTCTATGTCATAAAGGGTTTTATGGGTAATAACCAGCACCTTGAACTGCCAACTGAGAAGCCAACTGGCAGCCAATGTGGCTCGCGCAGAAGCATTAATACATGGACACACTGAGACGCATCCATTACTGCTCACACCATTGCATTTTGAGCCAGCTGCACCTTTTGTGTGGTCTTTAAGAGTAGCCCTTGTTGAGAGCATTGCAATAATCCAATTTGAAGAAACCAGGGCAGGATTGACTATCTAAAGCTGCAATTGGTTTAAAAACCGGTTCTGTGAGCGCTTGCTTTGCACGCGCACGCTTCACACACGTGCGCACCTAAAGCGCTTGCGCACAGCGTTCAAAATACAACAATTTGAAGCTGCTGGTTACCTTCTAAAGCAGCCCCGGTAAGTAGAACAGCGGAGGCACGGAAATCAGCTGTGCCGCACGAATCAGCTGAGCCAGAAAGGAAATATAGGACAGGATAGAGAAGGGGTGGGTGGGCAGGGTGAGCTGATCGTCGGAACTACTGGTTCGTCGGAACCAATCCGAACCGGCAGCAGCTCACCACTGCTAAAGGGTCTCCTTATCGAGGAAAGAGTGCAATCGATGCATAAGATGAAAGTAATTTTAAAAAGTTTTAACACAGCATAACAGGTTATTTCACCCAATTTTCTTCATTAATGGGGGCAACTTAACAACCCACAGTACAAACCTCATTTCTGTTCCCCTTATTTCCAACAATTGCTTATTTTTCTCAATTCATTTTGTCATTGCTTTTCCGCTCAAACAAAGGTCAAAATGAATGTACTAAGTTGCAGGCTACTTCAGTTTTGTTTAAACCCCTGCCATCTCTCCCTCCTCCAGCCCCATGAAAAATGTGGCCCTGCCCCCTTCAGCAATCTCCCTATTTCAGCTCCTCACCATCTACAGCACTTAAGAAAATAACAATACGTCCTAATGTACAAAAAGGATTTCTGCTTCAGAGCCCAGTGCATCCGAATATTAACTAAAAAGATACATGATGTGCAAGAGGGAGATTATTACCTAGGTCATAAATGATCTATCACTGCTTTTTTGGCATGGGGATGAAAGAGAAGAGACCCAGGTCCTTTGGCTGTTTCAGATATGAAGAGATAAGGTATAATTTTTAAAATCTGAGCAGACTAAGTGCGTGTGTGTGTGTGGGGGGGGGTATAAGGTTTCATGTAAGCCTTCTCCCTCCAATCATTTAAACAACATTATCTGCTCAGAACTTGCAGCTCATTTGTACTGCCATAACCAAAAGCAGACCGAGTTACAAAATGGTACTCCTGTGTCATTTCCACAGGGAATGTGGGATAATTCTCAAGGTGGAGAATTATTCAGATGCATTAGCCTGAAGAGGTGTAGAAAGGAATTCAGAGACGACATCACAAAGGGAGACGGTTAAGAGAAGGTGGCAGGGAAATAAAAGGATACAAATTCGGAAGGCCTCTCCTGGTTACCAAAGAGGGAAAAACAACTTTGGTTTTACCTGAGAAGTTTGTGAAAAGCCGTGAGAAAGCTGAGAAGCGATTCCGGTGCAGCCACTGCTGAGCTTCCTGAGGTGTGGATGTTGGCAAGAGGTTCTAGGGGAAAAAGAAACTCAATTGCTTCTCTACAAGAAGAACAACTAGATAACTACTACTGCATTTAAATTTTGAAACTGGGAATTCATATGCAATTTCCTCCCAGCATCTCCAAATATAACCTGAAGCCTCCAACTAAATCTGCAGTGTTTTTGCTACATTTAAAGCCTTGGAGTAATACCAATTTGCAACTTCTGTTGGCCAGTTTGAATAGCAGGTTGAGGGTAGCCCTCCAAAAATGGATGGAAGCAGGACCTATTCCAGGAAGGAGGTTCACGAGTTTAAAGAGGCAAAATAGGTGCCATGAGCATCTGCACAGTTTAAGGCATCCATTTTCCCCTTAAATCTTCCCTCATTTTGGCTCTACCCATGTAGGAATGGTGAGTGGGCTCCATGGTAACCTCAGGCTAAGCATTTGTCCACCTTGATGGCAAGACTCACTGTGAATCACGTTGCAGCATTTTGCATCAGGAAGAGATAATTCAGGGAAAAGAACCCTTTGGTCAGCTAGATCAGACCATCCCATGCCCACCTGTAGTCAGCAGTGGGGTAGAGAAGAGAAAGAAGCGGGAAATGTGAATTAAAACGTACATCTGTAATTGGAGCTGGAGGTTCAGGTTGGTGGTTTGGAGACCCGTTCCTAGTTTTAGAAAAACAAAACAGAAAAGGCATCTGAATTTTGCTTTTCTCTTCTTGGCATCTTATTTAAATATTCCATATCCTGCCAAAAGATTGACTGGAGTTTAACAAAATCATAGTTAAAAAGAACAACTAAAAAACCATGGCCTTTCCATGGCCTTTCCTTTAAGCATCACTGAGGTTCAAGCATTTATCAGAATTAATTTTAATAACAATTATTAAGATGGAAAGTAATGGTAGCCTACACAATCATTAAAGGTTGTGCGAATGTAACACTTCACATTTTTTTGTGTTTTGGTTTTGAAGTAGATCTTTCAGGCTATTTAGTCCAACTCCCTGCTGGATGCAGGAAATCTTAAACTGAAAGATTCCCTGAATAGCCATTAAGTCTTGGCTCAAAAACCTCCAGCCAACAAGGAAAGTTAGACTTTTGCTCAAAAGCAGAAAGAGCAACCACTTTCGTTTCTTCTTTTTTTATATAAAGACAGAGTAAAAAGCTCTTTTGTGTTTGCTGTTTCTGCTGCTGTTTAAGATTAACACCCTTCTCATCTTCTACTTGTTTAGTCAGGCTGCCTCAGATACATCTGGGAATTTTTTTTTAATAATGAACAGGTTAGTTTCAGCAGCGCCTCTATCCCTGCAAGCTAATACACCTTCTTTCCACAAATCGTTTTTTTCTAAGTGAAAAATATCCATTCTCTTGAACGTTCACTCTTTTTGCCCCATGCTTCCTTTCCCCTCCCCCCCCCCCGGGAGGGAGGGCTGTACTAATGCAAAAGCATGAGAAGATGACCAGGGTCTCAAAAAATTGCTAAACCCTATAGAGAAATTTTTGGTTTAAAGAAACCAATGAATACAGAGGCCTTTGAAAAAATATATACAGGGAAAAGGCATATACTTACCCTTCACTAATAGAGAAACTGCTGTGAGAGCTGCTAAAACCAGGTGATGGCACATTGTTGACATACGTGATTTCAGGCCATGGAGAGCACTGGTAGAAAAAAATATACCCTTCTAATATGAACATTCCACGATGTTTCTGTCACAGATTTTCTAGTGATGAATATGACTGGAACCTGCCTTCCCTGCCCTTTGCTTCTATGGCTTTTCACTTTCCCAGCTCTTGATAAAGGGGGGAAAAAAGGACATCCAATTTATCTGAGGAAAACTATACATTTATTTGAATATTTTTGTTCATTCTAAGCTAGCGGCACAATCTCTAATTTAAAGCTTTCCTTTTGGAAATGCTACAACAAACAAAGATTATTTTGAGGTTAAAGGTACAAATGAGCTTTTTCAAAAGGAATCCCTAAAGTTGGCTACGCAGTCTTTATGTGCTCCATGTTGCTTTTAAGCAAGATTGCTTCTCAAGAGAAACTATGAAAAATTGTTTGTTTATTTTCATAAAATTTGTATATTAGTGTATTTGAAAAAAGCATCTTTTTGCACCAATTCTCATGCTGGTTGGAAGTAATGCTGAATGCATAAGGTATGGATTTTAACCAAATTGTAACTCAGGTTAAGTTATTTTGCTATTTATGAATACAGCAGTTGCACCAGTGATTTACAATTTGGGAATCTGATACCATGATGTACTAACACAGAATGAATGGCTGCCAGCAATCTTGCTTGAAAACAACATGGAAGCACACAAAGACTGAATAGCCTACTTTAGGGATTCTTTTATTATTATTGATTGTCATGCATCTATAGAATATAGCATATAACAGGCCTGAGGAGATATTAACAGCATGGCACAATAGCCTTCTCTGTGTGAAAGAGCATACTCCTCAGCTGCTTATCTGTGTTGCAACAACTACTTGATCCTGGAACAGTAAACACAATCAGATTTGCTTAATACTTGAATGGAAGATCCCAGGAAATCCCAAATCCCAGGGCTTTTGGCTAGACTAGGGAAATTAAAAAAACAACAACAGAAAGTGACAATAGCAGATTAATGTGTATGGTTGCTAAGAAAGCCATATGGATACATCTATAAAATCACTAGGAGCCAAGCTTGATTCCTAGAAAGACATTATTAGTTTTCAGTCATTGGCATTATTTTCTTTGCTGTATAACACAGGTATCAGCTTACTATAGCCCTCAAATTCTAATTTAATGACCTTTCATCCTTTCCAAACATCTTATCTTCAAAATAAATACAACTATGCTTACTGTGTAAGGGTGTTATAATTCAACAGTGTCTAAGGGCACTAGACTGGGAAAGCCTGATTTATAATGTTACCAGTATTTGATCTAAATAGTATTATTAATACAGCACTGTGAGCATATGAACGACCATCTTTCTTGAACCCTAGCCGAAGTGTTTTGTTCACAGATTTCTTCTTTTACCTCTGTAAGTATTGTTGTTTCATATGAAGGTTGGTATTTTTCCTTCTCATGAGGAGTTCGCTTTTCCATTTTCTCCCTGTCGGTCTTTTGTTTTCTATCTGCTCCTTTGGGCTGGAAATTAAACAAGTTTATTAAACTAATATGTAAGATATAGGAAAAGATGAAGCAAATGTTTTCCGCTGGTTGAGGACATCACAGTGTCCATTTGTGATACACAAACAGAAACGTATTTATATAAATACACCATGACATTTGGCAGCAATAAGGAGTTGTCATTCCTCTGCCATTAACTGCTGCATTGCTGCCTCTGTAGGTTTTGACCGTGAGGGATGCAATATTCAGTTTGGTCATTGTGTTTGTAGACTTTAGCTACTGTGTTAAGACAGAACGTTGGCCAAGGTGTATTATCATGTAGTCCATACTTAAATTATGGTGTTATTTTAATATATTATTTCCTATATTGTATTGTTCACATATCATTCTCATTCTCTTTCATTCTCTCTCCCTCTCCCTCCCTCTCATGCCATATACTAAATAAATAAATAAATAAATAAATAAATATAAACTGCTGTATTTGAGAGGCAGTAGAAAGCCAAGCCAAGCAATGCTCTCCCGGGCTTATTCAAGATCCTGCTTTCATCTCACAATCAGCACTGACAAAAGTTAAGATTCATATCATTGGATAAACCATCATGTGGTTTATTTGATATTGGCTCAGCCACTTTGGTTTGTAAATCAAGTTTATAACTTACTCCAAAGTGTAAAGCCAGGGAAGAACTAGCAGGACTGGCTATATAATGCTTGGTTTTTGCCAGGGTAGAATTCCGCCCGAGTGCCTGTTAAGTTATTCAGAAAATAATCAGGATGTTTTTCATCTAGAAGAGGCTAACAAAGCTCTTCTTTATTTTTATTTTTATTTATTTATTATGCTGTCCATTTCCCCTATAAGGCAACTCTGGGCAGCTTGTGTATATTATACATGTAGGTTCTGCTGCAAAAATGGCTTCTTTGGTTTTTCCCCCCCCTCTCGTGCTGAAAAAGGCTGTGAACTCTGTTCCGAGTTAAACAAGTATTTCAATGGTATAGATATAAGAAAGCTGACGTGTCTGTTTAATATAAAAAAATTCCATTAATCCCCACAAAGATATAGCACTGTCCAGAAGAGATGGTAACATTCACTTCCCCTACTGGGTGTAAAAGTTCACTCTGGAAATTAATGCAAACATGAAAAACCAGTTCCACTGCCTCCCTCCACTTTCTGAAGTCCTGTACTGTAGATGTTTATCTATGCAAGCGTTGTGGAAACTGTTGAATAGTTGTAACAGAAGTGCTCACCTTCTACAAGTTTATGCACAAGGACTTTTTTTTTTTAACATCCCAAGAAGTGTGGTTACTATCTGCAGGATCATCAGGTTAAATTAAAAGTGACCACAGAGGAAAAATTTGCTTAACCAGGCCTGGCCCAGATGCACACAAACTAATGGAATGTTGTTTTTAGAGCAAAAGAATACGAATCCTTTGCCCACTGGGAATTTTCTCTTCAGGTATACACTAATTTCTAATTTTAAAAAATTCTTGGTAGTAGGTGGTAGAATAAAAGTGGTGAAGGTGGGAGATCGCTTACCACTTCACGAAATCATAGTTAAAAAGTTTCTGTGTTGTGTAAAACTGCCTCAGCAAATGTGACTTCCCCACTGCCTAAAGTGATTTAGCACACAAAACCTGTATTCTGAATTAGATTAAAACAATCATACTTCCCCATTTTACAATTCTTACCAAATTAAGAATGCCAAGTTCTATTGTAGAATGTAATCCAATACTGCACACACATATAATTCAGCCTTGTATCTCATTACATATACATCTAAAAACTAGGAATATCAGAATTCTAGCTTCTCGCTCATAAGCACTTAGGCTGACCCATACTGCTTCGCTATTGCTGATAAAGAGTGAATAGGAAGATTCAGTAATTTGAGCGATTCTAAGAGTGATGCTGATTAGAATGGAAACTGCTGGTATGGCTTCCCTTGATGATAAGGGACCCCCAGGGGGAGGGCCTTCTCTGTGGGGGCACCTACCCTCTGGAATCAGTTGCCCCCAGAGATAAGGAGAATCCAAGACCTTAGTGCCTTCCGCCGTGCCCTTAAAACCCACTTTTTCCAGCAAGCCGGGCTGGCTTAAGAAGAAATTTTAAATGTTTTAATTGGTTTGTATTTTTAATTTTGGGGCAAATTTATATATATTTTAATTGTTTTTTAATATTTGTATTTTATGTTTTTTAATTCTGGCTGTACACCGCCCTGAGTCCTCAGGGAGAAGGGCGGTATATAAATTTTAAATAAATAAATAAATAAATAAATGTTGAAAAGGTAAAAAGTAAATGAGAAGGTATCCACAATGAGAGTAAGAGCAGTCCTGAGGAAAGTGCCATTTAAAAGAAGGAATTCCAAAATTAAAGCTAGAAGGCGGCAAATCCTTTCTATATTGTTGCCAAGAAACTGTATAGACATGACTGAAACATGTCTATGGAGATTCTCAGTCATCCAGGTCATGGTTGTCCCAAAGGTGCTTTTTTTTTCAAGAGGCAACTGGACTTTCTGGTTTTTCTTTGAAGACGTTTCACTTCTCATCTCTCCAGAGCTGAAGAAGCTTCTTGGATGAGAAGTGAAAAGTTTTCAAAGAAAAATCAGAAAGTCCAATTGCTTCTTGAAAAAAGTGGCTTTGGGATAACTGAAACATTTATAAATTTGGTTGTCATATGATAAGAGCACCACATTGAAAAGCACAGCTTGAGTTACGGAGGAAGAACCCTGAATTTTGTCAAGGAGACCCGAAATGGCATGATGGGATCCCAACAAAACCACACAGACCTCTGGTCACTGATGGTGCCATCATACTGAAAGGACTACTTTTTACAAGGACACATGCAATAGGAACATGGAACGTTAAAACCACAAATCAAGAGAAAATTGAAACTGTCAAAGCAATATTAAAGCATAATAAATAAAGCATAATAAGATAAGATGGCCAGAAGTTCTTTACGGGCCTTTCTGAGATGTCGTAACATTGTAACTTTGAAGTTATTAAATGACATAAGTCAAGTACCTGTACTATTAATAGATATTTAGAATGCAAAAGTTGTAAAAATAGAAGAACTTGCAAATACAGGACTATCTGGATAGGATAAATGTACTAGTTTTATTAACATACATAAAAGGATATAAAAGAGAAGAAAAAAGAAATTAGAAAACCAACAGATTAAAAAAAAAATACCTAAAGCATGTTTCATATAAGAAACTATTCACCCTAATTTTAAAATCCTTTATTAAATCTTAACAGAGGCTTTCCAATACAAAGTCAGAGAATTAATTAAAACCAAATGGGCACACTTTGACAATCTAATGTGATAAATCTGAAATCTTTCCAACATCAAACGGTAATTTAAGCAGTTACTCTTCAGTGTTGTAACTTTAACAACAGTAACGTAAGTAAGTTTTGATTAAGATCTTCTAATGAAGAATGGAGCCATATATAAAGAAAGAAATGCCAAATGAATAGGCAGGTTTAAGAAAAGGCAGAAGGATGTGAGATCAGATAGCCATCATAAAATGGACAATACAGCAAGCAGGAGAATTTAACAAAGTTTCCCCTTTGCTTAACTTTAAACTACAGAAAGGCATTTGAACATTAAATCATGCCAGAATAGTGGACTAAATTAAGGATAAAGGGGTGCCAGGACACTGGGTTGAATGACAATAAACAAGAGGTTACTGTAATAATTGAATTGAGAAAAACAGCACTTCAGAATAGGGAAGAGAGTGAGAAAAGGGGGGGCATATTACTCACATATATATTTAGTGAAAAACTTGAGCTAATAATAAATATTAAAGAAAAGATAATGTCAGTCAGCAAGTTTAGAGAACTCACAGTTGACAGCAAAGAAGGAAAGGCAGTAGTTTTGTTTCCTTGGCCTCAACAACTAGGATGGACAGTGTTCTACAGAATTAAAAAAGATTAATCTCATTGGGAGTGTGGGCAGAAGCAATAAAAAAACTAAAAAAAAAAAGATCATGAAAGGTAAGAATATTTCTATGATAAGAAATATCAGAATAGTTAAGGCAATGATATTTCCTTTAGAAATATATGTGTGAGAAAAATGGACATATGAGTGGGTAGTAGAAAAAAGATAAGACATCTTTAAATTATGGATGTGGAAATAATCACTAACAGGACCATCGACTACAAGAATAAGCAATCAATCATTGTTGGGCAAAATAAACAATTGCTCTTGAAGCAATGATCGGTAAATAGAAACATACATACTTTGGGCATGTGATGGCGAGCAATGAACTAGACAAAAATATTTCTATCCAAGATTGAGGGCAACAGAAGAAAACAACTGCTATGTCAGTTAATTGATCTACCTGCCATCTTTATTATTCACAGCAAAATCTTAATTTAAGACCCCAAAGGCCTGAGCAAGAACATGTAGATCAGAAATGCCACAATTCTGTTTTGCCTTCTTATGAAATAATTTAACACCCACAAGCTTTTTTTTTTAAAAAAAAAAAGCAGCAGGATGCTAAGAAAATCAGGATCTGTGCTCTCCAGCTCTTGTTCTTGCATTATGTATCTTAAAACACAGGTAATACCTTGAAAACTTTGATCTGGCAACTGGCAGAATGCAAATGCTCCGTGTATTCCCCATTTTCGTTTTCTTTGAAGGTATCGATCTGGACTCTGAAGGGCACACCTTTCTCGCCACCATGCTTCCTCATAGTGAACTCTGTACTGATGCAATGTACCTGTAAAAAGAGAGCCAAAAATATGCTCCGAACTGCAACAGTGCAATAGTGATGCTCGTACAACACAGAGTAATAATTAAACTTTCGGTGTATGTCCAAGTCATTTCTAACAAAGCCTGAGATTCTATCTGCATAGCAAACCAAGATTGCAGACACATAAAGGAGTTATGCAAAGTGTTAATAGTTGCCTTCTCTCTTTAAACCAACTTGGCAAAATACTAGACCTGACCAACAAAAACATTTAAAAAATTGTGTTTAATACACCATATTTGATATCTAGGCAGAAATCATATGTGCATGTCCCTCAAAGAGAATGAACCACAACAATGGATGAGAACAGGAATCAGACCCGGGGTACATCAAAACATGTTATTTATTTCTCTTCTAAAACTGAAGTGCAGCCCAAGTTATTTTTTTTAGCAGACTCTGCAGTAAGAAAGCACAGGTAGTCCTTGACTTACGACAATTCATTTAGTGACCATTCAAAGTTAACAATGGTATCTAAAAAGTGATTTATGACACTTTTTCACACTGACAGCCATTGCACCATCCCTATGGTCACATGATCAAAATTCAGATGCTTGGCAACTGACTCACATTTATGATGAATCCCAGGGTGACCTGATCACCTTTTCTGACTTTCTGACAAAGTCAATGGGGAAACCAGATTCCTGGTTGGGCCAAAACTCACTTAACAATTGTCTCATTTAGCAACAGAAATTTTGGACTCAATTGTGGTCATATGTTGAGGACTACGTGTACTTCAATCGGGTTTATCCAATTTGAAACTCCATAATCTCTTAAAAGATCTAGAAGACATCAGACTGAGATGTACTTCCTTTCTTCAACCTTACAGACATAATGATTTCTATCAATGGAGCCTGGATAGCTCAACAGACAGAGCACTGTAATTTAACACCAGCTGTCTGCAATTAAAGTAAGATCGAATCTCGCCAGGCTCAAGGTTGACTCAGCCTTCCATCCTTTCTAAGGTAGGTAAATTGAGGACCCAGTTTGTGGGGGCAATAAGCTGATTTTATATAAATATACAAAAGTATGAAGGCTATTGCTTAACGCACTGTAAGCTGCCCCGAGTCTCCGGAGAAGGGCAGCATATAAATCAATTTTTTTTAAAAAAAGTTAGTGCTAACAATGGTATGAAGCCATGATTGGAACCTGGACACAGCACTATTTTCACTGGGAAAAGAAGAGAAATTGAGCAAAAAAAGAAAGAAGCAGGAGAAAGGAAGATAAGAGTTATTTTACTATTTTACTTAAGTGACTTAAACATTGTGCTAAGCTAAGCCATAATGATGATTTTTAGTTTCTGGCTTAATGGGATGTTCCAATTCACTATTGTGGCTAAGATATGTGTGTGGTTCAGATCACATTAATACAACTTGGTTTAAAATTCTGGCTCTGTATATATGTATGAACTAAGTTAATATTTTAACTGTGATAAAAGAAATAAGGAAAAGGAATGCATACACACAATCCACAACATGAAAATATTGTTTTAAAGTCCAAGGAAAATAAACTGGGTTATTTTGTTCTTGCTTTGTTTAGAAGCTTCTAATTTTTCTAAACAAATAATAATTCTAATCAGTATATATAAAGCTTTATTTTGTAAAAATGGTATCCATTTATGTTGGAATGGAAAGCGAAACATTTTTTCCCTAACATAAGGATATGTCAACAGTGTAAAATAAAGAAAGCACAAATCACTTAGGACACTGGAAGGCATTTTTGTGAGTGTGTGAAATCTACACTTCTCTTTTTACTTTTCCCTTAGTTATTTTTACCCTTGAGAACCACAAGGGGTCTATGACAAGAGTTCTAAGATGAAAAAAGAGACAGAGTAGCAGCAAAAGGAACACTGCATAATTTCAGGAATATGATCAAAGGAGTTGCTCTGGGGACACATTATTAGGAGTGGGAGTTTGCATGAGGAGTATTAACTTATGATTCAGAAATAAATTCCTTTCACAGTTCACGTGTGAACTTTGCAGGAAAGTTCAACAATTAATAGCTTTGAGATTCCATGCTTCTAATAACTACCTACGTCAACAAGGTGTAAAACTAAGGGAGTCTGCATTATTCCTTAGGGTTTAAAGATCAGCAATAGATCAGATATTATATACCATATGTCAGTTCTAAATTTCTCAATTGCCTAAACGTCTGTCCTTCTGAAAAGGTCTGATGTTTTCTTCTCCCTTTCTAATATTTGTCCTGTAAATTGGATTAAATTACAGTAGCTAGGCTCCTCTCTCAAAACGTCATAAATGAATGGTCACTTTACCAGGTTTGAAAGCTGGGTAACATTATTGTTTAATTTATGAACTTCTCATCAACATTTACTGAAGCTCCAAGAATTTCCAGAGACCGTTTGTGGTGAAGAAGTTGATCTTAAAACAAAAGCAATGCTGTCTTGAATTGAAACATGGTAACTATGAATCTTAAATTATATTTAGTCATTCATTGTCCAAAATTACATCAAAGCAAAGAAGGATGGGAGAAGGTCAATGGACAGGCTGCATTTACACATTGCATTATAGTGAGTTTGGCTTGTGTTTCCGCAGTTGTATCCCCAGAATAAATATTTTGCAAATTCTAATTAAACAACAATAGCATAGCAGAATCTCTAACTTAAACACATATGTTTAAATACAATAATAGAAAATCCAACCCCAAAAGTGGGAAAAATAAGAGACTGTGAATTTATTATTGTGATGGGATATATAGAAGGTTACATGGTAACTAGGATACAATATTTCAGTCAAAGCACAAATCAAATTTAATCACACATGCTCTGTAGCACATTTCTAAGTTCTGTTCTCTTGTACTCCAAGCATCAATACTTTAAGGTAACTATTCAAAGCTTCTCATGTTCCTTCACTATGTATGCTTAAAGAGATGCTGTCACATTATATGCATGGTAGAAGAACACATTATTCTTATTAAAAATACATAAATTTACAAGAATAAGGCAATCAATACTTTGCTTGCTGTATGTTATCTCTCTCTCTCTCTCTCTCTCTCTCTCTCTCTCTCTCTCTCTCTCTCTCTCTCTCTCTCTCTCTCAATCAACCAACCAACCAATCAATATTTATATGGCTATCCATCTCACAAAACATGATTTACCTGAATAAATACAGAAGTTCTCTTTGAAGGATCCCAAAGAAACTCTACTGTATTCAACTGTGTTGGATTTGCTCTGGGATCTATTATACCCACAGACATTGGGATATCTAAAGACAACAAAAATTAGCCACACTTTAGCACAGAAGATAATACTTAACAGGTCCATTCTAGTCCAAGTAAAATAATATAACAACTACAATCAAAACATGAACTGTACCCATAAGCAACAATCTTGCTGAATAGGAAACTACCAATGATGCCATGTTTTTCCAAAAAGAAGGTCGGATCTTATTTTCTTTTGACCCCCGAAAAAATGGCTAGGCCTTCTTTTATTGACTCACCTCGCGGCGGTGGCACCAACAGGCCCGCCCAGCAGAAGTGAGCTGCTGGCCCACTTCTTCTGCAGCTGCTTGCCACCACTCACACGCATTGCCCCGGCCTCCATTTTGCCTTCAGGTGCCTGCTGGTGAAACGGAGGCCAGGGCGGTGCATGCGAGTGGTGGCAAGCGGCCACAGAAGAAGGCGAGGCAGGTGTCGGGGTGTGCGAGACCTGGTAAGTAGGGCAGCTCCACCCCCATCCCCACCCTAGCTTATTTTTTACCTGTGTGCCTCACCCCACCCCCTGCACCCCATGGTGGGTAGGGTCTTAATTAGGGCTAATTTTATGGGTGGGGTTTAATTTGATCGCATGAACTCAAAAGTGTGATAGTGCTTCTTTTCAAGGTGGGTCGTCTTTTTGGAGAAACACGGTATTCATGTACAAGTAAAACAATTAAGAATGCTGGAATTAGCAAGTTTGACAGAATGCAGGCCAAGGGACAAACTAAAGGCAAAATAGTTTACCAATCTAATTGTACGTATGATTTAATTGAAATATAGGCATCATCTCCTTGGCCATTTGTGCCTCAGTTCAAGTGAAGACTTTTGTGATTGACCAAAGTTATAAGAGAACCAGTTTGTTGGTTAAGGTATCAGGCTAGAAATTGGAAGACCATGAGTTGTAAACCTGCCTTAGGCATGAAGCCAGCTGGATCACCTTGGGCCAGTTATTTTCTCTCAGCCCTAGGAAAGAAACAAGGGCAAACCACTTCCAAGAAATCTTGCCAAGAAAACTGCAGGGACTAGTTCAGGTAGCTGCCAAGAATGAAAACTGAAGGCACAAAAATTTATGATATAGGATAACTATAGCATAAATTAATGGTAAGAGAAAAAAAGGGTTTATAAATTGGGAAATAACCTGAAAAATGTACATGTGTGCAAAGACTGTATCAATATATGAGATGTTCCAAGCCAAGTTAAGAAGGAATAGAAAATTCTTCAAATCATTTGATTAAAAATCCTTGTATTTTAAATGGCCATGATCTGCTTCCTCCAACTTATCAAGGCTTTCTCGCATTTCAATTCTCTGATTTCTATCTATAAATAAGAACTAGTATTTTTCTTTCTTTCTTAATGGAGAGCTAGCAAAGATTCAGCATTTCTAGTATATAGAGGACTTGTAAGGATATTTTCGTCAAGTCACTCTCAAATAAAAACAAAAGCAACTGATTACACATAACACAACTGTGTAGAAATAGGAGACAGGGTGAAGCTCTTTTAAGAATTTTACACAGGTCTTAACTTCCACTAGAAACACTGGAATCCTTTATTCAGAAATTCAACCCATTTTGTTTCTAGGTCAAAAAACCAGGATTGCTGCTATAATTCCTTACCTATATAGAACATTCTGATTGTTGTATATAGGTAAGGAATTAATTAATTAGGGGAATACACAAATGAAGTGCTTTCCTAATTTAAAGCAGCTTTCAACTGATTAATAGTATAGGAATATGAAGCCAGAAAAACCTAAAAAGATCTCTGATTCTGTGAGGAGGGGATTTTAGCCACAAGTGCCTAAACAATGCAATCCAAGCAACAATGCGGCCTGAACAGAGCACAGCATTGTGACATAAAATTGTTTAAAGGGCAAATCACGCAAGGTAGTTTGTCCAAGCAATCAAAAATAAATCTTCCATGGGAAAATAATATAGGTTCAAGTGATGTAAACCAAGGAGGAAAGCTACTTTCCCAAAGCAATAATGGAAAGTAAGCTGTTAAAGAAAATGCTTTCCAAAATCTGTAACATAAAAGCAGTCCAGATTTACCGAAAAAAACTCACCAATATCCAGTATCCTGTCCCCTGGCCTGTTCCACCTCCAGCCCTCCAACTGTTGATGCTCTGTGTACTGCAGCCGCCGATCATGGAACACCACTCTAAATATACTCTAAGAAACAAAAGAACTTCCCTTTGAGCATAATTAACAGGTTGAAATGCAAGTAGGGTTGAAAGAAAATCAATCAATGATTGGTGACAAGATGATTCTTGGAAGCATTTTCCAAAAATATGCCCTCACAAGGTCTCTCTACCGTAATACTCATGACTTATATGGATGGAAAATATTTAGCTTAACACTAACACCAATCGTCAATTCAGATTCATGTTTCTATTTATGGCAAGAGACACATAAAAGCCAAGATTCACTTCCACACAGCATTGCATTCTAAAGCAGAATACTACATCAATGTGTGAAAAGGTTCCAAATTTCTGCAAGGATTAGTTCAAATATGATTATAAATCAACTGCTAAACTTGAGTCAAGCGAATGCATGAACAGGTTCCGGTAAAAAGTTTTTGCTTCTGAGTGGATGTTCTATCCAAGACATTTGAATTACAATTTACAGGTAGTCCTCAGGTTACAACCACTCAAAACTGGCCATTCAAAATTATGACAGAATTATAACAGGAGAAGCCTGTTCGTAGTGCGTGCATGCGCAGAGCTGCCAGAAGGCACAAACAGTTAAAACAAAAGGGACGATTCGGGAGTAAGGCCTGGAAATGATTGGCCCCTCCCATAAGGCTTAAAAAGAGAAGCAAAGGCACATGGGCCCTTTGCAGGAAAGCAATGTTGTTAATACTGTTCCCTGTCAGCATCTGTTTTTTCTTTTTTTAAATAAGTTTATTTCCATTTTTAAAAAACCAATTCTTTACATATGTATATACAAAGTTATTGCAACAAACGTACACACATTTGCACCTATACAGTTTAAATCACTGATAAGATTATGAATGTTGGAACCTATGATATATTTGGGTGAAAGAAAAGAGAGGGAAATGAAATGGCATCTGTGTTTGATTCTGGAATCTGTGTGGTTTTGCCAAATAGGTCTTTGGCAGAATGTCAAGGGAGATAAAGGTGGGTGATTATCCCGAAGGACTTCTCTCAAAGGACTTTTTGCAACTAATTGGGACTCAGCTGTGAATGAACGTAATTCACAGCTGTTCCAATAAAAATACGTGTGTTTTAATGACTCAGGAAGCCTAGGTCACAACACTTACTATCAGTCCTCAGAATTCTAGCTGTGGCAGCGTCCTGCAGTTATGTGATAGCAATCTGGGCACTCAGTGCCTGGCTCACAATTAAAACATTGCCACAAGCCACGGTCACGTGTAGGCCATTTCTGATGTTCTCTGTCAGTTCACACAAGCAAAGTCAATGGGGATGGGAAGCAGGAAGTTGCCAGTTACTCCCACTCCAGCTGTCCTTTTGCCTGTAGTGTCTGGCACAGCAACCCCTGCTCCCCCATAGCAGCTGCATACAGCACCCCATCCCCACCTACACTCGATAGCACCTGCTCGCAGTATCCCTCTTACCAGTGGTGGGTTCCTCCTGGTTTGGCCCGGTTCTGCCGAACCGGTAGCGGTGACAATATGACGTCACAGAACTGGTTCTGGGGCCCCCAGCCCCCCCTGTTATTCTTACCTTTTATTTGGCCCCACCCCCAATCTATTGCTGCCTCTTGAGTCCCAGCTGATGGCTAGAGGGAAAAAAAACTGTTTAAACTCTTGCCGCGGGGCTTCAAAGGGCCGCCCTACAGTTTATCAGTGTTAAAAGAAAGCAAATGAGTAGACCGGTGCCTGCAAAAATAAATGGATAGACCAGTGCCTGCAAAAATACATGAGTAGATCAGTGCCTGCAAAAATAAATGGGTAGATCGGTACAGCTCTGCAAGCAGTTAAAAGCCTGGTAGACCAGTACCTCTGCTAAATCCTAAATAATTGTCACATGACCATCAAGCCACAAAATAAGCCACATCCACAGAACCGGTAGTAAAAAATTTTAGAACCCACCCCTGCCTCCTATCCACCTATAGCTTTTTCATCATGCCTGGGACTTCCACCTCTTCCTGCTTGACAACACTCATAGTCCTGTGATTATGATAGTAACTGGGACTGTCGGGAGACTGCCATCTCTAAGCAATGCAGTCATGTGACATTGCCTTTATGACTGCATTGCTTAGCAAAAGAAATTCTGGTGCAAATCGCCATTGTAACCCAAGGACTACATGTACGTTCATGATTATTTGCCACAATTTAGTATTCCCATGGAGAGATGTGTATTATGTGATCTATTTGGATGTGCCTTGTAATTCAGCACCAGCTATGACAACAAAATAAGATTTTCAGTAAGGTTATTCTTACAGGGAGCATCCCCAAGGCATGGAATACTTCCATGATTTCTAAGCATTCCAGGGCTAGAAACTATCATGGTATTCAGAGGAGGGAAACTATCATTATTATTCAATAGTAGATGATATAATGAATCCATATTCTATAGCAGGGTCCAAAATGTGATAATTCAAAAAGGTTAAGATTTCCAGGTTTTTAAAAATGCGGTATTAGAAGAATCAACTGTTAGCAACAGACTCATTATTTGTAAAGTAAGTAATATATTTGGGTGAAATACACATACACACAAGAAAAAAAATGCTACATATAGTACTTATCCGTTACCACCTATTTTAGCTACTGTTGAATTAATCCTTGTTGTATGCCTTCAAGTCAGTATTGACTCCTCGCAACAATTTGCACAAAATCCTTTCAATTTTCTTGACAATATTTTTGGAAGTAGTTTGTCTGTGCCTTCTTCCTAGGACTGACAGAGTGTGACTGCCCCAAAATCAACCAGCTGGTTTTGGGCCTAAGGCAGGACTGAACCTGGTTTCTAGTCTGACACTTTTATCTACTAAACAAAATTGGCTTTGTTTAATTTACATAAGGCGTTACAAAACACGATTCTTTGAATAAAATATTTTTCATGGCAGTAACATTTTATATGTCCACAGATTTTTAAATTAATAAACATATTCAAATATAAACTATAGTCAGAGCGCAAAAGACAGTTACTTATATAATTTAAAACAAAGCCATGGTTACCTAAGTATTTAAAAAATTGTTTACAGCTCACTGAAAATATTCATATAGATTCCATGTTTTGCCCAGAATATCATCCTATCTTAGAAAAATCTCCAGGTTAATGTTATAAATTCCATAACATGGAATAACCAATAACCAGGCTGGCATTAATAAAAATGCAGAGACCATATTACACTTAGGTTGAAAAGTATTGAACGGGCTGTCTGTTGCTACCCAGAAAAAAATATATAATGAGGTGGATATTATTTTTAAAGCCTTATGTAGATTAGATACAAGCTGTCTGAGGAATCTTTTTTTCTATAATAACCTTATAGTAACTTTCCTCTGCAGTTGTTGCAAGCTGATTTGGAGGTCCTGGGGTCAGGCCTTCTCTGTTGCCACTTCAGTTCTTTCAAGTGTACTTCCCAAAAGGTTCAGGGACCTATTATCTTCATTAGCTTTTTAAAAACCCTTATAACACATTTTACTTATAATTATTTTTACTAGAATGATAAATTTACATTGCTATTTTAACTGTTTTAATACATTGATTTTAAATCTGTTTTAATTCTTGACCTCCAAGAGACTTCAAAGGTCAGAAATTTACTTAGTTAAATAAATACTTTTGCTATCTAAGGTAGTGTATGTTTTAGCTCAAAGAACCTGAATCTAAAACTACGGGGGTTGCAATGGAGAGATTTTCCTACTTTGTGTATTACTTCAGTTTGTCTTCCAACAGTAGATAAAAAAGAACATTGGTTCCTGCCATTTCTGCTGTCTAAACATTGCTAAATTTTCCAGCATATCTATGAGTAAACATAAAGAAGGCTTACAACTGAAGTTATTCTTCTATCTCACTTTGATGCTGAATCTTCTACTGCCTCCTGAGCTTCATGCAAAGCAAAAATAGTGAGATAGTGAAAAAAAAGTGCCCCACTTGTGTTTTATGCTATTTTGCCATCCCTCTTAAAAATCATATCTTACTATACTTACTATATTACTAAACTGTGGCAAGCCACACATTCACAATCTTGATTCAAGATCATCTGACAATCTTTTTAACTGATATGTCTTTGGAAGATTCAGTGAAATCTAACATTCTAAGAGATACAAATTTTCTCTGCCTTATTTATTAACTTTGTGATATTTATGCTTTGAGTAGCAAGGGCTTCTCATTTATCAGTGCCCTACACACATAATTTATCACCTGCTAATCTTTCATTTTACTGCTCAGTAAATTGCTATTTCTAACACCACCAGGATTTGTGGGAATGGTGTAAATGACCGCATCACTTTGCATAATTTACTATCATTTATTACCTGGCAAACATGTTTATGGAAATCTGATTAAGTTTTCTCTCATATTTTGGGAAAAGACAGATTATTACATACCTTTACAAGCTTCCCATTTAGTTCAGGCAATTCTCCCATTTTCCTGTTATCCAGCATTCTGATTTCATAAGACTGACCTGAAAAAGAAAATATATTTGCAGTTATGCTTTAAACAAAAAAAGGATTGGCTGTCTCAGTCAGTAAGAAAAAGTAAGCAACTGACAGTCCCCAAACTGAGGTAATATAGGAAGAAATGAAAAAGGGCCATTTTGTGGGAAAGTATATCTGCATCACTCCTTTTAGAATAATCTACGTTTCGTTAGGTCTGAACTTGATTAAACCAGAAATGACTTGAAATATGGCGGTCAGTTATGTTACACTGAACTGTATAAAACTATGAGAAATGTAAAAACTGGGATATCAACTAATCTTTTACCTCTCCAGTTACACTGATCCAATTACAAAATACTATAGATTGATGCAGCTGAGTTCCAAGTCATGTTAACTGAATGACACTTGTAATAACGTCTGTATACAGCTAATATGCCAATGACATTTTTCACCTACCAGAATTATCACCAATCTTTTTCAAATTAGCTGCATAAATATGTGAGGACTGTCAAAAGTTAGATGAATACACAACATATCACATAAATTAAGGTTTATCAAAGTTGAGATTCATTTGACAGTAACCAAGGCTAAACTGACAGAGAGATTATAAATTGCACATTGTTAGGCAATTACACTGCTTTGTCAGGTATTTCCAAGCCCATGAATCACATCAAATACCCATGCCAGGGATTCTTGTATTTCCAACTATTTTTTAAGCTTTACTGTAAAATGTTACTGGACAACAGCATATAAAAATTTCAATTCAATTAAAAAAAACCCTACTGTTTGTTGTTTGCCCTTCTTGTTGGAATTTTAGCTTTTATTACCATTACTTTCAGCAGCCAACTTAAACTGATATGAACCCAGAATCAGGGGTGAAATGCTCCCGGTTTGGACCAGTTCAGCCGAACAAGTAGCGATGGCGGCTGCTGGTTCGGAGAACTGGTAGCGATGGTGGCGTGAGGCTCCGCCCACCCACCTGGTCATCATTTCCTGGTTTTAACCAGGAAGTAACCTGCTTTTTACTGTCTGCGCATGCGCAGAAGGGTTTGCGCATGCGCAGAGGGTCCAAGCGCGCATGTGACATGCGCGAGCACTTCCGAACTGGTTGGGAAGTTAAGTAGATTTCACTCCTGCCCAGAACTATAAAGCAGCCTTTTGCCCACCTCGTATTCTAGCAAAAGAGAAATGTAGCTTACCTTGATTGAGATAGGTGAGTGTTTCATCATGAAGTTTTACAGCAGGAGAAGTGGCAGCACACAATACATACTGAAAGGGCAGAATTTTGTTCTCATTGTCAGTAGGCAAGCTGGATTCTTCTTGCTTAAAGATGGGCAAGGCAAGGACATCGCTACAAAACAAATGAGTGGTCAGATTAATTATTTTTGTTTGTTTTACTGAAAGCCTTTAAAATTACAGTCAATCTCTTAAATTGACAATTAAACGAATTATTTAGCACATAAAAATAAGAATTTCTTAAGCAGAGTAAGAGAACAAAAGGAATACTGTATGCTGTTACATATCTAAGTTTACCATGCAGAACTTCCCTATCAAATAAATCCTTTCAAGGAGGATATATGGGTTTTAAAATAAAAATATTAGTTGGAAATCCAGAAACTATACTTGCTTTAGAATTGCTAAACTGAAGGATGAGCATATTATTAGCCAATGTTAAGGCTAAACCTATTTTAGACTTCAAAGAAAAGGCTCTCTGGGTGAGATGTTTGAGTTTCTTAAACAACTTTGAAAGCACTCTTATCCACTCTTCCCCAAGTTGATACACTACTTCTACATCAACTTTCAACCTCCAGCCAGCATTTTTGGGAGCCTAAGTCCAATATATTTATTTAGACTCTAGATATACTGGATTAAGGCTCCCAAAAATGGGGTTCCCAACCTTTTCTATATCCCGCACCCATAGAACGCTTCTGATATAATCTCGCACCCCTTACAAAAATAAATAATTATATGCATATAATTCTGCATATAACTATAATTTTGAAACTTCTAAACCCAAGTTTCACACCCCCAGAATATCGTCTCGCGCCCCCGGTTAAGAACCCCTGATTTAGAGAAAACAGAAGCAATAGTACGTAGGTTGGCAAACTACCATCCCCACAAAAGGCAAATGTGGTTTTATAAAATAGCATAGCACTTTTGGATCCAGAGGAGATATTCAAACAAGGACTAATTTTTTTAACCCATGAGGTTTTAATGCTACAAGACATGTTGAGACTTCATTTCAAATAAACAATAGATTTGACAACCTCTCAGTATAAAGTCATTAGTCAAAAGATGTTTTTTTCATAACCCAACTAAATGTTGCATATCCATGAACATTTATGTCTTTATTCTGAGTAAGGCATAGCAACTTCTGTGACCTAAGAATGATGCCCCAAGGTTGATGCTGCTAAAAACATAATATAAAATCCTTCCTACCTTTCAGGAAATTAATGCGGATTACTAGGAATTTGTTAAGGCTCATTATTTCTTCACCATAGTAACTATGGGTGCTTGTGTTCCAAACGTACTTTGAAGCAGTCCCATGCACAATTTCCCTACTTCTAATAGTGAAAAGAAATCTCTATTTTTCTCTGCCATCTGCCTTTTGCATCCCAGCAAAATATTACAAGTTGTTCCAAGCATCAGCATCCACTACAAAAAGGGATTAAGAAAGCAGAACCATTTTCACAAATACATGTATGAACAATCAGAATTCAAAAGTACTTATGTTTATATGGATGATCACTTTATACTGAAACAATGAATTGGAAAAAAAGCAAGCACATGTGCATATTTAGGGTAAAAACTTCTGGGATAACTTCCCACACAAGCTAGAAATCAACACACAGGAAAAACAGGGCGTCCACCTACTGGGAAGCTATGAGGGATGAGGTTGAAGGGAAAAATTAAAAACAAATGAAATTAATTCCCCCCCCCCTCTTTATTCCTTCTCAGAGTCAAATGCAATAAAGTTCTAAAAACTGGGTGGTAGAAAGTCACAAAAGACTTACCTAGAAACATTATCATTTACTTTTGTAGAAGAGGCAATTTTGGGTAAATCTAGTGCTTCCTAGGATCTAAACCTTCATTAAGAGTTACTGTTTATTTCTCACACAACACTCTCTTTCCTTGCTGGCATGCAAGAAGCCTTGGCTCAGTACATACAAAGGCAAGATACCTCCTCTCTGGGCTTTGCCATTCAAGCCAAATACAAACACATAAAAATCTGATACTCTCTCAAATGCTATCCCTGGGACAGAAGACTTTGAGGGACAGGATCTCCTGGAAGAAATGTAGTTCCCTCTACTATTCTTCTAGTAGGACCTACTTTTGTAGGTCTAATTCAGGGGTCAGCAACCTGCAGCTCTGGAGCTGCATGTGGCTCTTTCACTCCTCTGCTGCGGCTCCCTGTCACTCAAAATATGTGTCATAACCGCCAATGTGTGACACCTGCTGGCATGTGAGTTACTGAGCTTTTCAACCCCTGGTAGGCCAACCATGGATAAATCCAAGAAAAAAAAAATCCAGAAGAAAACAGAATGTTTAATTCAACTACATATGCTAGTTTTGTGGCCGCTCAAGAAATAGTCAGGCACGGGAAGGGTTTTGTGGCTCCTGGTGTTTTCTTTTCTGTGGGAAACAGGTCCAAATGGCTCTTTGAGTGTTTAAGGTTGCAGACCCCTGGTCTAATTTTTAAGTTATATGTGTAGGTGCATATTTCCCCATTAACCATGATTGAATGGTATACATATCTGCTATGTTACTGTTTAAAATGCCCAGATGTTTGAAGTTTGAGATGGCATGTTAGGCTAAACTATAATTTACTCATAGTTTACAAATAAATCACAGTGACTGTATTAACTCTACAAGCAAACCCATTAAGTAAATATGTTCCCCAAGACATAATGGTTGGACCACACAACGTTAAGTGATCAGAGTCTATATTTAATCTTTTAAGCATAGTAAAGCTCACTTCAGGTAGGACAGTGATACTAAGTAGTTAAGACCCTACCATGCAAATACAATAATCTAGTCTCTTTTTCTTCTTTCTGGGAACTGGAGTACTTCTTTATTTAGTTTTAATTATGTTAAGCCTTACAACTTTTTGAAACAATCACAAATCAAAGTTTGAGGGTGCATTTGAAGAAACCTTGGAAGTTGTCAAAACAGGATTCAACGTCAACTGTGAGGCTACTTGTCACCTGATCTAATCCAAAGCTAACAAACCACATGTCTCAACCTTTTCACATGGAGCTTTAAGGATTGAATCTTGGCTGTTGCCTGTATCTCCCCATCTCTTGTAAAGTACATCAACTTTCCTATCTTAAAAGGAATGCTGTTTTAAAAAGAAATATTGATTTTCTTGAAGAATGAAATGACATATCCAATAATCACAACCTACCATTCTTTCAATAACAAAAATGATACAGTAAACTGCATGACACTTATTTCTGGATGTAGTTGAATTTACATTGGACATCAACCACATCATAGAGTCATGATGCCTTTCTACGAATATCAATAATTAAGTTAGCAGGAGGTCAGTACTATATTACAGCTCTGCTTTGTGCACATCTTAATTTCATTTTTAAGAATAAATTAGGAATTGTAACTAAATTATTTGTACAAAATATATACACCTTATATTCTATTATATTGCTATGGCCAAACATGTAGGCATTCCTACTAGGTAAATCTCTGCTACTCTCAATTTTTTCCTTCATCCCAGATACATATTACTTTAAAATGTGAATTAAAAATTAATCTGGTCAGCAATAATCAAGATAATACCAGTAAATGGTATCAAAAGTTCTAAATGCAAAACCAGTTTCTATATAGTTCTTTTCCCAGCCCAGCCCCTGCATGGCAAGCAGCAGAATAATTTGCAGAAACTGTAAAATTTCCATGATTATGCAAAACGAGAAGTCATGTAGCATGTTTTCACATAATTTATCGGAATCACCAAAATAAACTTTTCTTACTATTTTTTAAACATATTAATAAGTTAGTGAAGATCAGACAGATGACTGGTTATGGCTAGGACAAGAATTTTGATGGACAGGATATATATGTTTCAAAGCAATAAGGAATCCCACTTGCTGTAAAATAAAATGAATGACATAAAAGTTACTTCCAAGATAATAAAACTTTCTGGAAATAAGGTTCAGACTAAGTACATGTTTTTTTTCCTTGATATGAAGCAAAATTTTCTGAATAGACGACCTTATTTCATCAAACCTGCTTTCTTATCTCTTACTATCCTAATGAGCTTTTCTGGAGCCTGACCATGAAGTTCTACATGCATCTTCTCTCAAATGTCCCATTACTTTAATGGTATTATTCTCAGGACAATGCATATTGCATTGCCTTTAAGGTCATTATAATGAAATATATGAAGATAAGTCCTTTCATTGTAACATTATTCTTTGCTACTGTCCCATGATAGTAATGTGTTAGTACATTATATATAATATGTAAATATAAACTGGATTCTTCAAGTGGGGTTCAATCTATTGTATTTTGTATTGTGTATCTAAATTAATATGTTGTCAACTCATTCAGTCTAAATTACGGATTAGAGCTAGTTCTACAGAGTTCATAATTTTCTCTCACCATTATAGATTTCAGTCTCTTCATAATTTTGAATTCTTGCTGTGTTTTTAAATTCATAGAATCTTAAGTAGACTAAACAGGTAGCCCTCGACTTACGACTACAACCGAGTCCAAAATTTCTGTTGCTAAGAGAGACAGTTAAGTGAATTTTGCCCCATTTTATAACTTTTCTTGCCACAGTTGTTAAGTGAATCACTGCAATTGTTAAGTTAGTAGCATGGTTGTTAAGTGAAACCGACTTCCCCATTGACTTTGCTTAACAGAAGGTTGCAAAAGGTGATCACATGACCCCAGGACACTGCAATAGTCATAAATATGTATCTGAATTTTGATAATGTGATCACAGGGATGCTGTAATAGTCATAAGTATAAAAAATGGTCATAACTTTTTTTCAGTGATGTTGTAACTTCCACCAGTCACTAAATGAACTGTTGTAAGTCAAGGACTATCTGTATCAACATATGAAATTGCCTTCCTTTTGCTATAGCTGTCTCCAACCATGAAAAGCATTTGAAGTAGCAGGTAAGGGTGCAAATGTTGGTCTTGTTATTTCCTTTATACAATTCCATAGTTTTATCAAGCTTTGTCTGTTGAATCTTTCTAGCTTAATTATCTATGAAGTTCATTGATTGAACCAGCTCCTTCCAAAATGGTCATTCTGCTGTGTAGAAATTTTACCAACTCTGTTAACGAAGCTAAGCAGCTTGCTACGATATTTTTTAATAAAATCCAAA